TATTTATATAATATTAGTCATTCCGGTCGTTAGTCCTATTAAAAAAGTCGGTTTCTTCGGTATTATTATTATATATATATATTTTTTTTTTCCATCGAGCACATCCACGACGGTGGCGGGTTAAAAGCCATATTGACCTCCGTTCCATTAGACAAATTGATAGGAACGACTACATTATCCTGGGGTCCATCGGTGTTTGTATATTATTATACCGACCCACATTGACCTCTTCTCCTCTTCCTCCTCCTCGGCCACTTGTTGCCCCGTCGACCACTTGTTGTGCACGTCTCGGTCAGCATCTTATCGCGCGTGCTCACTCCTACATAATATTATAAGACCGTGTGTGTACTATGTTATAGTGCTGGGGGACCTACTGGTTATTAACAAAAGAATATAGAATACGTCTAACGTTTAATAAATAACGCCAATTGAAAGATCGTACATGGCAACAAACAAAGGTCACACACATCCATTCACACAATAAGCACTCACCGAACGGTTCGTGTAGTAATATTAACAATATTAACAATCTTAACAAGTGCGTGTGTGTGTTCTTATCATAATATATTATACTTAGTAGGCATGAGATTATTGTATATTTTCACTATCCGCAACCACTTTACACGTAGACTAGCTCGGCTCTCTATAATGCTGCTGGTCATAATGGATACTATATTAATTATACACAACCTGTATGTGATGCACGTGTATGCAAGGATCATCAGCATACAATGAACTCGTCTCGTTAATCAATTAATTATTATTATTACTTGTCGTACTTGGCTATAGGTATGTAACTACCTGCACCGCGTGTAGAGTGCAAGAGGTTAAAAAAGTTAAACAGTCCAGAGCAATTGATTACCGTTTGTTTTATAATAATCACACAATATGTGTATACACTGTGTCTACAGTACAAACTACACATTGTTTGGAATGCAAAACCCGAACGACATGTACTTAGGCTGCCGGGTTGAAAATTGAAAGCAATACATTTAACGACGTTTACAGCGCAGTCCACTTTCAAAGTGTTCAAATGCTTACACCGAAATTAGATATTTTTTTCATAATTTTTTATGACTGTTGAAAGTTTATAAAACGTAAAGCTCAAATTGTTTTTTTTTTTTTATAAAAATTTGTTTTTTATTCTTAATACTAAGTATCTTGACAGTCGTGAAAACTAGATCTTTCCAAGTTATTTTCAATAAGAGTTATGAAATGTAGAAATATTGCTTAGTGCGTCTAACTTTTATATTATATTAATAGGACCTATACTTACAATTGGTTTGTAAGTTATTTACTTATTATGACTATTATTTTCATCACGTCACGTGTACTAAAAACGTTATTAATAATTGAACCCGGATCTGAGCTGTCTGTCCTGAGCGCATATAGGGGTCTCGGTTATAGGTTTTTTTAATCTATTTATTTACCCCTAAAAAAAAAAATGAATTAAAACCCTCCATTATGGGTAATTTAGGTAATTTCGGTTTTTGACAATTGATATGCTCTCATTACATATAAATATATAAATGACGGTATTATTTTTCTCTTAATCATATAATTATATAAATATATATATATTGCCTCCTTTTCCTTAGACTTGGTCACAAAATGCATCTCGATTCGGTGCCTTTCTGCGACTTCTCGTCTTCTCTGCCTTGATCCTTTTAATATATCCTTCTTAATTCCCGCTCTGTTCCAGTTGCTACTGTTATTTATTTTTCTACATAAATATTACTTCACCGTAATGTTCACTTTTAAGTTTTATACACCGTTGAAGTATATTGTTACTGTGCAACGGGCGTGTCGTTCACGTTGGACGCAATTGAAAATAATATTTACTTAAATTAAAATAGTTGGGCTCTCGAATACGTGTAATTGATAATTTTTGATTTCAATTGACACCCCACATATTACCATTTAACCTTTCGGAGGTCTATTTAGTTTCGTGCACATAAAAATAATTTAAAAGCCCATTACATATTGTTAAACGAACATCAAATAAAACTACGACTATGTCATAAATATATATATATATATGTATGATTATTATTATTATATATATATATATATATATATCGTAGTTAGTCTTGTTGGTATGATAATGGCCGTTTTCCCTTATAATATTTATGATTAATTGACCGCGGTAAAAGTTTTAATTTACCCGAGTTCCTGTAACATTTATCGCATATTAATTTAGTAATAAATAAGTTGAACTGCGACCTGACGTCCTGTACTGATGTGCTGGTTAAACTTTAAACGTCTAATCGCTGAAGAACGCTGAAAAATGTACCATGAAAATATATTTTCCAATTTTTTATTATATATTTCCTCTACCTGTTCTTCTAGTTGTACACGTTTAGTATGTTTTATTTTCATAGTTTAACAATATGTTGCTTAATACAATATAACATTCTACATTGCTACACTCCACAAAATATGCCCATGTCTTTGAATTTTAACATCTACATATTCCACCCACTTTATCTTCGGTCTGCCTCCGCCTCTTAATCCATTTTTACAGTACTTGAGGTTGATCACAGAAAACTATAATAATTATTAAAACTTTATACGACTCGGATTTACTTGGCAGATCCCATCTACTCTTCAGTATCTATTAATATATGAATAAGACATACACCAGATAGTGTGTAATTCCATAATAATTTACCAATGTCATTGTTCAAATTATAAATATTCGCATGGTTATAATTAACAGCTAAAAACTATGATAATATTTTATTGTTACCAAAACAATAGTATAAAAGTAAATATAATATAGTTTAAATTTAGAAGATGTGCCCAAACCGTATACATTATCCCATACAACAACAATAATAATAATTGTACTATTTTTTTTTGGCTTTTAAGCCTGTGACTCTTAAAGTATTTAAATGACCGTCTTGAAACTTTGCACACATACTCGTTCTGCTTATAATATACAGTATAAATGATATTTTTCTATAATTTTTTATAGTGGCAGTTTTTTTGGGCACAAATGCAAATGCAACGTGTTTATTACACATATTTTTTATTTTATTTTGTTAAAAAAAATACATTTAATTTGGGCGGTGCCCTATCTCGCTATCTACAAAGTGATTTTAGATATTATTTACTTGGTGACTAATTTTTCTCAAATTATACTGATAGTGTTATCTATGAAAAAGAAAATTGTAAATTACATAATTAAAAGAAATTCTGGGCACCGAAGGGTTAAGTTGATTATGAGTAGATTTTTTTTTTTTGGGGGGGGGGGGGGGGGTAAAATGTTAAACGTTAACAATTAAAAATATCAAATATTTCCTTTAACGAAAACAACGGATTTCTTTGTATAAGGGATGTTTTTTCCCCACAAGTCATACGACGGACCTCTTGGAAAACGAGGACCGGTGGAATTTTTGACCCTTTTTTTTTTTCCAAGTAGACGGTCTGGCACCAACCGCGCCGAGGACTGATTTATGGACTGTGTTTGCTTAAGCTGCAAAAATAAATCCGTACAGTATATTAATATGTCTGTACAGGCCAACGTGTACAGAACGGGATTAAAGTGGTTGTTTAGCGGTTGACTACTAGTCCGTATAGCCTCACAGACACAGTAAATTCCATTTTGTCACTTGGAAATATATATTATTATTATTGTAATTACCATCACCGCGAGTTCGGATGGACCGTTTGTGTATTTGCAGTGGGACTACAGTCGAATATAAATAAAAAAATAAATAAATAAGAAAACTATCGCCGACCATACTTCTTCACTCGTAAATCTTAGGCAACTATACTAATAATTTAAGAGTGAGACATAAGTATTTGGCCAACACGTGCCCGTCGTCGTTTAATCCTTAAAATTGCTATATAAATTAAAAATATTATTATTATAGCAACAATACATTTTCGAAACCGAAAACCCTTCTATTAGTTTAGGCCTTATAAATCAAAATTCTAGTTTCACCAATCTACGTGGGTAAGTATGATTTTATTTGGACAGGTTAAATTTACAAGTTAACAAAAAAATAAGCATTGCCTACAGATGCAACTTAATATCAATAGGTAACCTTTTATCTTAATTTTTGTATATTATGTACAACCTTGTATGTGTCAATCATGAACTAGTCAATTAGTACAATTATAGAAGAAAATTTACTTAATGAGTGTTTTTTTTTACCCACTTTATTTATTCATGTGAAATAAAAAACTCATTTTTTATTATTTTTTTGCCACTTGTTTGTATTCATTATGGAAATCTACATGTGTTTTCGAACAATGTATCTATAAAAACTGCTTTTTGATAAACATGACCTAAGAGATTGTGATATGAAAAAACAAATTTGTCATTTATTTACATTGCTAAAACAGTCTACCATCAAAGGCCGTAAACCAACTAACATATTTATAATTATGAATTTCTGTCGGTATTGCAATTCTTAGTTGTTGTGATTAAAAAAAAAATAATACTGCACACATTTTTAGATACTAAGTAGTTGGATGTATTTTTATATATATATATATATATCAAAACTGTCTCATTTCGACTTATCCCTTTAGTTTTAAACCGTATGTACTTAGGTTGTTTAATTGTATTTGTAGATACATTTAGGATAATGCACTAAAAAAAAACACCTTATTCTTAACTGATCGCCCTGTATTTTCATGATAGTTTAAGATAAAATACTCTTAAACTAATGTAACTAAAGTAGTAACACTTTAAGAACACATTAATTAAGTTCTAGAGCTATTCGATCAGTATCAATAAAAATATAGACAACTTATAACAGCGATTCATCGCGTTATTAATTTTAAAATATTGTAACACTGTTTTGACATTTTTTGTATGCACACTTGTTTTTTGTGCTGTCAAGAACTAGACGACAGCTTGCATGGTCTAGAATGGGTAATTTTAATGATTTTGAAATAAAAACATAATTTTGTACGATATTGTATTTTTTATTCAATCGTTTAATGAGTTGACACTATCAAATTAAAAAAAAATATTATCTCATTTTATTAATATAGATTAAAATCGTTGTACAACTACTACAATTATTAAATAATTAAAATACATGTGTAAAATTATACAGTTTTGAAAAGAATCGTAAAACTTAAAAAGTATAATCCATAATTAAAGCACCCCCAAAAAATATATGTAAGTAAATCAATAAAAATAATATTTTCAATTCAGAAAAAACTCACAAAACTTTTTACTCCTCAAGCGTCTTAAATATCAAGGCGAAAATCTCCAAGATGTCAAGTTTGTCGTCGCCTAAAAAGGAATATATTTTTAGTTAAGAAGTTTATTTTATTTTGTTCTACTTCAACATTTTGACCACTATAATATATCATAATTAATGTGGAAACATAAACAATATTTTTCTGACATATTTAAAGAAATATTATATACTTGACGTATTCTTAATAAATTAACACTAGAGATCATATCAACACCCAAGAAATCTATCTCATAAATCGCATGCCCATTACTAATGGACATTTTTTTCATAATTAGATACAACTTTTTTTACTTCTAATAACCTTTAGTCAAACATTCTTTTTTTTTTTACCTAGAAAAATGTTCGATCATCTGCGGTTTCTCGAGATTTATTTTAATAAGTTCACTTGTAAAATTGTCTGCATACTTAAAACCACCTAGATCGTACTCTATGCTCGTCCTCACCATAGTAGTTATTTAATTAAATCAAGCCGATTTAGTTAACGCTATGTCTTGCAATAATACCATTTCTATCGCCTTTCATAAGAGATACAACAGTATCTCTTTCGAAGTCCTTGCACTTGACACCATCGTCAAGTTCATTCCGACTGAGAAAACCATCACGGTTTGTATCGCTAACAGCGAAACTCCATATATGACCTCTAACTTCAGAGGTAGAAATGACGACTCCATTCTAAAAAATCAACAAAGTAATTCATGTAGCACATATTTAGATTATGTAGAATATGGGCTGTGTTAGCATCGACTTCAGCAAAATTTTCATAGGAAAATAGAAGAGCATATTGTCCATTACAGTTTTTCCTTTTATACATTTTTAAAGCTTAAGTATTTATTATGTATTATATATTATTAAAAATTAGTCCAAATCGTCAAGACTGTAGTTTTGATTCGCGCAAAACTGTAGTAAAGAAAAAATATGCAATATTTTTCTAAACAAATTACTGTGATAGCCCGGCAACAAGAAAACTATAGCCAATAAACAATCCTCATTGCTGTATTAATGAGTGTGAACTATAGTTGAAGCTCTAAATTAGACTTGGCCAATAATTTGTTATGCTTTACTACTCAAATAAAGGGGGGGGGGGGGTGTCCTGATAAAAGCATACAAAACGTAAACGTAATAAAACTATTAATATTACTTTATCGTTGGCCGTTGTGTTGTATTCTGCTGAAACAACCACCAGCTCTTGCATCTCTAAGGGCCACTTTTCTAAGGTCAAAATAAAAAATGCATTTTTTAATTTATTAAAATGTATACTCATTGAATCATAGTTGAAAACAAAAATAAAAAAAATCGAATAAATCTAAATTAAATTGCAATTTTATTTATAAAAACAAAAATAACAGAACATTATAATAAATTAAAAGATAATTCTATACTATTTGCTTCGTATAGCTGATGAAAAAATAATTTGCCAACTCAAAAAAGAACAATAAATTATAACAACTATCGAGATAATATCAAATATATATTCTTACGAAAGCGTTCAAATTTCCATTCATCATGCTTGCCAACAATTATTGGTAACCCTTCGACGACCTGTGTTATTTTTTCAGGTTGAATGTAATCGTCATTTTTTATTTGTAGTTTTATACTGCTCAGAAATTCAAGCTGATTCATGTCTAGCCCTCGGTCTAATTCTTCTATGCCCTATGAACAAATATTTGAATCATGTAAGTATTAAAAGTACGAATGAAGTTTGACTTTTTTTTTAAGTGCTATAATGCGCTAAAAATCTACGAAATATATTTTTCTTATACATGTTAAATGCCATGCAAGGCAAAATCAGAACTATTTGTGTATTGTATCAAGCCTTTAACGCAACCGTAAATTCTTACCTTTTCTTTTACTGTCAAAAAGCCAAATAAGAACTCCGCGAAATTAACCGATTCGTCACCTATAAATATTAATTTAAATTATCATACATTGGAATTAAAATAACTGCTTCTCTAACTAAATAAAACCTTGGAAAATCCCCGCCAAACTTTCTTTCTCGCCACGATTTAATCTTAAACCTTCAATGATATTTTTTAATTCCTCCGGGTTAACTAGACCATCAAAGAGGGGCCTTGTTTGTCATGATATGTGAACATGCTTAGGTAAACTATTACTTCTTGGGATGATAAATTTGTGGTCTATGTGGAAAAACATGTAAGAAAATAAAAAAATCATATTAGTCACGAATTTTTCCATACTTTTGTTTTCGTTATTACCACCCAGCTGTCTTCGGTCTTATTGTTTTTGGCAAGATATACCATTACACTTTGTGTTTTTTGGCCGTCTGTCGTACCTACATTAAAAAATGAAATTGTAAATATTTTTTAATCAGGCTAGTCAAGACGAGTGCGTTAAATTGAAAAATGTTGTAAATGCAGGAAAGATTCATAAACATTTTTAGTGGCAATTTTATTTTAATTGGGAGAGGGAAGGCGTAAAATTTGATTAAAATCGTAATGTTAAACTTTGTTTGAAAGATATTTTATTACCTTCTTCGTATTTCCAATCTTCCACATTCTTCACTCCCAATTCTACAAACTTTGCTTGGAATTCTCCTGGGGTAATTTTGTCTTCATCTTTTTCGGAATCTTTTACTAACTCAACAATTACTTTGACTTGATTCTTAGTGACTCCGACGCTCTATAAAATACCATAAAAACAATACTTAACTACATTAACTACTGCCATTTTATTTTTTATTGAATTTATAATTTTTATGATTATGTTTTATACTAACCTGTGTCATGGTCACGAAATACAACGCACAGAAGACAACAGCAATTTTGAAATGCATAATGGTTTTTTTTTCTTTCAAACACTTTGTTGAACCAGAAGTAATTCTTCGATACCAATATCGGATTAACAGTGGAATTTGATTCGATCCGGGGTCTTTTATAAGGTGCGATTAACCATGTAAATGGGAAATATTGGTAGTTAGTATTGTTTTCCGTTTTATTCTATTTACATATTAAATGGGTAAAGAGTGGTTTTTTTTACACAATTGTACATATTTTGTACGTGTAGTGCGACCCAAAAAAGTATTGCATATTTACTTATGTGGAATAAAATAACAACACATTTTTTTATTTGCTGTACATCGCACAAAAACTAAAACAATATACCGAACAAAAAATGTTATGAAATCTTCATATAATATTATTTGATGAAAATAACTGTTCTGTCATCTATAAATATTAATTGAAATTATCAATCATTGGAATTAAATTAACTGTTTCTCTAACTGAATATAACATCTTGGAAAAACCCAGTAAATGTACTAAATTTATCTAATTAGTAAAAATGTACTTATTAGAGCTAATTAACTCAATGCATTGAATGTTGAAGTGTGATGTTGCCAGATTTATAATCTTCTTTAATACGTTTCCTGTATTTTTTCATTTGTACAAAAAAACAGTAGCTCATAAAATTCATATTTATGTTAGCATTGTTCCATAGTCGATAACAACGGTAACTCGATACATTTAAATGTGTTAAGATAATTATGCACAATCGGTTTTTGTCTAACACTTTAATACAGTGAGAGCTACGGTTTCCGTTTTGGGCAACCTAAGAAATTGCGGGAAATTAAAATGTTTTACAGACTTATAGCAAACAAACAAATTTATGAAATTATAATGCTAAACTATTTTAAATATTCATGTTACATATTAATGGAGTTAAAAACATATTATGTTCCTATTTGAAAAGAAGTATTAAAATAGAAGTAGTTTATTCTATTTACATATTAAATGCGTAACGAGTGGTGTTTTTACCCAATTGTACATATGTTGTACGTATAGTGTGACCCAAAAAAATATTGCATATTTACTTATGTGGAATAAAATAACAACATATTTTTTTATCGCACAAAGATTAAAACAATATAGCGAATATGTAAGAAACTGCTTGTTTTTTATTATTTTTTAGCTATTTTTTTATTTTTCAGTGTGACAAGGCCATTCATAACATCAGATAAATCAAAGAAGCAATTATTTGGGAGGTCGTGGGACAAATTTGGAGTGGAAGGCGGAATATAGTCAACATTGACGTTTGAATAAACAGACATAAAATGTTCGAAAAATAAATTGGTTAAATCCACACTGTTTGAACTGTTTATTCCATTTAGCTTGACCACTTTAGGGATAGAGTTATTAGACCTATTTTCCCTGACAAAATCCCAGAATTTTAATGGTTTTGACATATATTTATATTTTAGCCGAAGGAGAGAGATAGTACGACAATCATCAGGGTTTAGACTATTTATATATGTAGTATTATTTGATTGAAATAACTGTTCTGTCATCTATAAATATTAATTGAAATGATCAATCATTAGAATTAAATTAACTGTTTTTTTAACTAACTAACACCTTGGAAAAACCCAGTAAACGTATCAAATTGATCTAATGAATAAAAATTTACTAATTAGAGCTAATTAATTTAAGGCATTGAATGTTGAAGTATGATTTTGCCAGTCCCTACTAAACCACACTAATTATATATACTTTTATCAGTACAGTTAAGGGTTCGGAAAATTAGAGCTGGGTAATTAAGAGGTCGTCCCTTTGTCAATGGTCAACGTAAAAAACTTAATGGGTACACTTTTTTTAAATTTTTATATTTTTCCAAAAGAGTTATAGGTTAAGTTAGGTTTTTATAGCTATGGTATTATATATTCTTCAATCTGTTCGTTTTCTATAACTTTGTAGAGATATTACGTTTTCTGTATTTTTTCATTTGTAGAAAGAGGTCTTGGTGACAAAGAGGTCACAAGTCTACAGAAATTATTTAATAAAAGTGATGAAATCACTATCAAATAAACGCTTTGATGCTAATTTGTAAACACTGTGCTGTTTGTTTACACTGCAACAGTTGTTGTAAAAATCTATGCAATCTATCTTGCAATTTAAAATGCAAGTTGAGTACAATTATAATTTAAAATACATTTAAAATGTGTACTAAAAAAGTTCTCTTTATTAGTCAAAAATGATAAAAATTCGCCCATTCCTTTTCAAAATCGAGAGAGAGACTTTTTTTTTATAAATAAAAGAATTAATTTTTGACTGTAGCCAATGACTAGGTCGTTAGTTTGAAATAACAGTCAACGGGTATCTGATACATATTTGCAATAAAAAAATATTGCATATTTACTTATGTGGAATAAAATAACAACATTTTTTTTTATTTGCTGTACATCATTTGCTCGCACACAGACCAATACAATATAGCGAATATGTTAGAATCTGCTTGTTTTTTTATTATTTTTTAGGCTGTTGTTTACATCGAAAAAATCGTTATGGAAAACAACTTGTTTTCGAAAAAAAACAACAACATATAAAAAAAACAATAATAAAGTTATTCCAGAGTTAAGACTTGCAACTTTATGATACCAACGAGTATTTGTCGTTTGTTTACATTGCAACACAGTTGTTGTAAAAAATACTGTACTTATTGTAAACTAACGTGTCATTGTATTTTTGTACAAAATAGAGATTTGTAATACTATTTTAAATGCAATTGGAATACATTTATAATTTAAAATACATTTTAAATTTGTACCAAAAAGGTTCTCTTTATTAGTCCAAAAACTATTAAAACACATCCATTGCTCTTCCAAATTGAGGGAGAGACTTTTTTTTATAAATAAAAGAATTAATTTTCGACAGTAGTCAATTACTAGGTCGTTAGAGTGAAATAACAGTTAAGGGGGATCTGATACATATTTGCAATACCAAAGTGGTTTATTGCGATGAGATGGGAAACAAAAAACGATTATAGACCGACGATCAGCCATTAGGTTATTCATCTTAATAAAAAAAAATAATAAAAACGAATAACTTTTTTCTACTCCTTAGTTTGAACTGAAGTTTTGACTGTTTTATAGTTTCTTCAATCTGTTCACTTTCTATAACTTTGTAAAGATATTAGGTTTCCTGTATTTTTTTATTTCTAAAAAAAAACAATGGCTCATAAAGTTCATATTTATGTTAGCATTGTTCCAAAATGTTTAACAAAATTATAGCAAACAAACGGATTGACGAAATTATAATGCTAAATTATTTTTAATATTTGTATTACATATGTTATTATTTTAATAAAAGTGATAAAATCACTTTCAAATAAACGCTTTGATGCTAATTTGTAAACACACCACAGTCTACTAAACTAATAATTTAAGAGTGTGATATAAGTATTTGACCAACACGTGCCCGTCGTTTTTTAATCCTTAAATTTGCTTTATAAATTAAAATAATTTTTGTTGAAATTATAATACATTTTTAAAAGCGATAATGCTTGTATTAGTTTAGGCCTTATAAATAAAATTTCTAGTTGCACCAATCTATAACTTATAACAGCTATTCGTCGCGTTAATATACTTTAAAATATTGTAACACTGTTTTGACATTTTTTGTATGCACACTTGTTTTTCGTGCAGTCAAGAACTAGAAGGCAGCTTGCATGGTCTAAGATGGGTGGGTATTTATAATGATTTTGAAATAAAAACATAATTTTGTACAGTATTACATTTTTTATTCAATCGTTTAATGAGTTGACACGATCAAATTAAAAAAAAATCTTATCTCATTTTATTAATATAGATTAAAGTTGTTGTACATTTACTAAAATCATTAAATAATTAACATAAATGTGTAAAATTATACAGTTTTCAAAAAAAATCATAAAACATAGAAAGTATAACCATAATTGAAAGCACTCCCAAAAAATATACGTAAGTAAATCATTTAATATTATATTCAATTCAGAAAAAAACCATAAAACTTTTCACTGCTTCTCAATTATCAAGGCGAAAATCTCCAAAATGTCAAGTTTTTCGTCTTCTGAAAAGTAAAATATTTTTAGTTAAGAAGTTTATTTTTTTTTGTCTCTAGTTCTACTTCAACATTTTGACCACTATAATATATCATAATTAATGTGACCGATTAAACAATCATTTTCTGACAACACTTTTCAGAATCACATGTATTTACCGTATTCTTAAAATATTAACACTAGAGATCATATAAAACTTAAGAAATCTGACTCATAAATCGCATGCCCATTAACTAATGGACATTTTTTTCATAATTAGATACAACTTTTTCTTCTTCTTGTAATAAGCTTTAGTCTAACATTCTGTTTTTTTTAACCGAGGAAAAGTTATCGATTATCTGCGGTTTCTCATGATTTATTTTAATAAGAGTACTTGTAAAAAGGTTTGCACACTTAAAACCGCCTAGATCGTACTCTATGCTCGTCCTCACCATAATAGTTATTTATTATAATTAAGCCGGTATTGTTAACGCTATAATTTGCAATATTACCATTGGTATCGCCGGCCATAAGAGTTGAAACAGTAAATCCTTCGAATCCCTTACACTTGACAATAATGTCAAGTTCATCCCCACTGAGAAAACCGTCATGGCTTCTGTCGTGTAAAGAGAAACTCCATACATAACCTCTAACTTCAGAGGTAGAAATGACGATTCCGTTCTAAAAAATCAACAAAGTGATTCATGCAGCACATATTTAGATTATGCAAAATATACTCTATGGGCTGTGATAGCATCGACATCATCAAATTTTCACAGAAAGGCATTTTATCCATTACAGATTTTTGGTGGATCCAATAGTTTTCCCTTTTAAACGTTTTTAAAAATTAAGTTTTTTAGATTTGTTTTAAATAAATTATTAAAAATTAGTCCAATACATGTGATAGCCTGGCAACAAAAAAACTATAGCCAATAAACAATCCTCATTGCTGTATCAATGAGTGTGAACTATAGTTGAAGCTCTAAATTAACTTAAAACTTAAGGGTTAAGACATGGCCGATAATTTCCTATGCTTTACTACTTCAATAAATGGGGGCGGGCGTCCTGATAAAAGCATACAAAACGTAATCGTAATAAAACTATTAATATTACCTATTGTCGGCCGTTGTGTTGTATTCTGATGAAACAACCACCAGCTCTTGCATCTCTAAGGGCCACTTTTCTAAGATCAAAATATTAAATACATTTTTTAATTTATAAAACAATATTCTCATTAAATCATAGTTGAGAAAAAGAAATCGAAAATTAAAAATAAATCTAAATTAAATTGCAATTTTTTGCAATATAAACAAAAATAACAGAACATTACAATAAAGTAAAAGATAATTTTATACTTATTGCTTCGTACAGCTGATGAAAAAATATTTCGCCAACTCTACAAAGAACAATTTAACAACCATCGAGATAATATCAAAAATATATTCTTACGAAAGCGTTCAAATTCCAACGCATCATGAACGCCAGAAATTATTGGTAACCAATTGATGAACTCTTTTATTTTTTCGGATTCAATATAATCGTTATTTTTGTTTTGTAGTATGTTAATGCTCAGAAATGTAATCTGACTCATGTCTAGCCCTCTGTTTAATTCACCTATGCCCTATAAACAAATATTTGAATCAAGTAAATATTAAATGTACAGATGTTGTTTGACTTTTTTTTTAATGCTATAATGCGCTAAAAATTTACGAAACATATTTTTTTTAGACATGTTAAATGGTATGACAGGCATAATCATAACTATATGTGTATTTTATCAAGCCTTTAACGAAACCATAAATTCTTACTCTAAATTTTATTCCCAAGAAGGCCAATAAGAACTCCGCGAAATTAACCGTTTCGTCATCTATAAATATTAATTTAAATTATCAATCATTGGAATTAAAATAACTGCTTCTCTAACTAAATAACACCTTTTAAAAACACCGCCAAATTTCCTATCTCGCCTCGATTTAATCTTAAACCATTAAAGATATTTTCTAATTCCTTATGGTTAACTAGACCATCAACAACGGGGCCTTGTTTGTCATGATATGTGAACAGGCTTAAGTAAACGATTACTTCTTGCGATGATAGACTTGTGAACTATGTAGAAAAACATGTAAGAAAATAAGAAAATCATATTAGTTACGAATTTTCCATATTTATTTTTTCGTTATTACCTCCCAGCTGTCTTCGGTCTTATTGTTTTTGGCTAGATATACCATTAAACTTTGTGTTTTTTGGCCGTCTGTCGTACCTACATTTAAAAATAAAATTGTAAATATATTTTAATCAGGCTAGTCAAGACGAGTGCGTTAAATTGTAGAATGTTGTAAATGCTGGGAAGATTTTTTTATGTGGGAGGGGGTAGGGGTAAAATTTAATTGCTATCGTAAAGTTGAAACCATGTTTAGAAGACACTTTATTACCTGCTTCGTAATTCCAACCTTCCACATTGTCCACGCCCATTTCTACTAACTTTGATATGAATTGTTCAGGGGGAATTTCGTCTACAGTGTTTTCAGATTCTTTTACTAAATCAACAATCAGTTGGACTTGTACCAAATTGACTCCGACGCTCTATGAAATACCATAAGTACAATAATAATAATACATGGTATTAACTACTGACATTTTATTTTTTATTGAAATTATAATTTTTATGATTATGTTTTATACTAACCTGTGTCATGGTCACGAAGTACAACGCACATAGGACAACAGCAATTTTGAAATGCATAATGGTTTTTTTTCTTTCAAACACTTTGATGAACCAGAAGTAAGTCTTCGATACCAATATCGGATTAACAGTGGCATTTGATTCGATCTGGGGTGTCTTTTATAAGGCGCGATTGACAAAAACAATATAACTATGTAAATGGGAAATATTGGAAGTAGGTAGTTGTTTTTCGTTTTATTCTATTTACATATTAAATGCGTAAAGAGTGGTTTTTTACCCAATTGTACATATTTTGTACGTATAGTGCGACCCAAAAAAATATTGCATATTTACTTATGTGGAATAAAATAACAACATATTTTTTTATCGCGCAAAGACCAAAACATTAAAGCGAATATGTTAGAAACTGCTTGGTTTTTTATTATTTTTTAGCCAGTTGTTTGTATTATAAAACTCGTTGTGGAAAACCACTTGTTTTCGAAAAAAACAACAATATATCTAAAAAAACAATATTAAAGTTATTCCAGAGTTAAAACTTGCAACTTTATGATACCAACGAGTATTTGTCGTTTGTTTACGCTGCAACAGATGTTGTAAGAAATACTAAATTTATTGTAAACTAATGTGTCATTGTTTTTTTGTACAAAATAGAGATTTGTAATACAATTTTAAATGTTTGTTGAATACATTTATAATTTAAAATACATTTGAAATTTGTACCAAAAACGTTCTTTATTAGTAAAAAATTATAAAAATTCACCCATTGCTCGTCAAAATCAAGAGACAGCCTTTTTTTATAAATAAAATAATTAATTTTCGACAGTAGTCAATTACTAGGTCGTTAGAGTGAAACAACAGTTAACGGGTATCTGATACATATTGGCAATACCTAAGTGGTTAATACTTAATTGCGATGAGATGAGAAACAAAAAACGTTTATAGACGGTCGATCAACCATTAGGTTATTCATCTTAATAAAATAAAAATGAATAACTTTTTGCTACTTCCTAATTTGAGCTGAAGTTTTGATGGGTGTATATCTTCTTCAATCTGTTCGCTTTCCATAACTTTGTAAAGATATTATGTTTTTTGTATTTTTTCATGTGTACAAAAAAATCTCATAAAATTCATATTTATGTTAGCATTGTTCCATAGTGTTCCATGATTTTTAACAAAGTTATAGCAAACAAACGGATTGATAAAATTATAATGCTAAATTATTTTTAATATTTGTATTATGGAGTTAAAACCATATGTTCCCATTTGAAGAAAAGTATTGAAAAATATATAACTACAATAGTAGGCGAAAAAAATAATTTTCAAAATGTTCATATTTTCCGAGAAAATGAGTGCTTTACATCAGATGAATCACACTGTATTAATATATACAAATATATTATGTACCTACATATGTGTATAATGTACGTGGAATTCCACGTTTAATCACGTGATAACTAGTGGACGTTTTGGCCTAATAAAACGAGACCCCTAATATTTTAGTAAAATTAGTTTTAAAATTATATAAGAATAATGAAAATGTGCTGTTATTGTATGTTTTTTTTGTATACTTTGATGTATGACTAGCATGACTCACCAGCAAAAAATCACTCAATGTCTCATAGGGTTTTTTTAAGGAATTTAATATTTTTTTAGCTTTGATGCGGAACAGAGATGCTATTGGTTTTAAATATGTGTGGTTTTTTTGTGTCTGTATACACTGTAACTTTTTAATATTGAACCAATTCTTTCGAGTAGCAACTCTACATATCACAAATTTATCTAGTTGGTATTTCGGAAGGGAGGGAGAGGGGGGGGGTGGTAAAAAATGAAAAAGTTTAATTATTCACAGTTAAATTTATAAAAAAAAAAATTAAAATTAAAATCATACAAGTTTTAAAGTTTGAACTTTTGGGTAAAAATTTTAAAAGTAATATTTATTTTATCCGAGAGGACTAGTACAGTAGTGTCGAGGCATAATCGAATTGAAGCATAGAGGGGACGAAGAGGTCACAAATCTACAGAAATTATTATAATAAAATTAATAAAATCACTTTCAAATAAGCCCTTTGATGCCAATTTGTAAACACTGCACAATTCATTCTAACTATGCTGGTTTATACTGTGCTTGGTTTGGACTTTACTGGTTTAAAAATACTAACTACTGATTCACATCGAAGCGTTTATTTGAAAGTGATTTTATCGCTTTCAGGTGTAATGATTCCTGTAAAACTGTGACACCCAACTTTGCCCCGACCCCATTGTACTGGCTTTTTCATATTGTTTTTATACAATGTGATCTACTCCTTAATTTGACATGGAGTTTTAATGGGTTTATAGCTTCTTCAGTCTCTTCGCTTTCTATAACTTTGTAAAGATATTACGTTTCTAGTGTTTTTTCATTTTTACAAAAAAAACAGTAGCTCATTAAATTCATAGTTATGTTAGCATTGTTCCATAGTCGACAACAGCGGTAATTCGACACAATACAATGTGCTGAGATAATTATACACAATCGGTTTTTATCTACTACTTTAAAGACTACAGTCTGCTGCCTGGGCTTCTTCATTACCCAACCAAAACCAAACACCATTATCTCTTAACCTCCCAGTCCATATTCTAACACTAGTAACTGAAAAAAGACAGGCTAGAAATCTATGGCAGTCTACTCATTACCCTTCTTATAAAAGACGACTGAACACCCAAACTGTACACCTTAAAAGATTACTGGCAAACTTGAGAAGTGAGTCTTACTCAAACCATTTAGCTTCCCTTTCCGCACATGACGGAATGTGTATGTAATGTGTTATTGTTTTTTGTTGAAAGTAGAGATTTGTAATACAGTTTAGAATGCCATTTGAATACATTTATAATTAAAATACATTTTTAATTTGTACCAAAAAGGTTCTCTTTATTAGTCCAAAAATTATAAAAATTCACACATTCCTCTTCAAAATCGAGAGTGAGAATTTTTTTTATTGATAAAAGAATGAATTTTTGACTGTAGTCAATTACTAGGTCGTTAGAGTGAAATAACAGTCAACGGGTAACTGGTACATAGTTGCAATAGCTAAGTGGTTAATTTAAATGAGATGGACACAATTCCTTATTCCTAACTAATCGTCCAAAATGTTTATGGTAGCATAAGATAAATTACTCTTAATACACTATACGACAGCAAGCATGGTCTAGGATGGGTAATTATTATGATTTTGAAATAAAAACAAAATTTTGTACAGTATTACATTTTTTATTCAATCGTTAAATGAGTTGACACGATCAAATAAAAAAAAAATCTTATCTCATTTTATTAATATAGATTAAAATTGTTGTACATTTACTAAAATCAATAAATAATTTAAGTATATGTATAAAATTATACAGTTTTGAAACAAAATCATAAAACATAAAAATTATTACCCATAATTAAAGCACTCCCAAAAAATATACGTAAGTTAATAATTCAATATAATATACAATTCAGCAAAAACTCATAAAACTTTTCAGCGTTTATTTAGCGTCGTACTGCTGCACGCTTCTTAATTATCAAGGCAAACATTTCCAAAATGTCAAGTTTTTCGTCTTCTGAAAAGTAAAATATTTTTAGTTAAGAAGTTTATTTTATTTTGTCTCTAGTTCTACTTCAACATTTTGACCACTATAATATATCATAATTAATGTGACCGATTAAACAATCATTTTCTGACAACACTTTTCAGAATCACATGTATTTACCGTATTCTTAAAATATTAACACTAGAGATCATATAAAACTTAAGAAATCTGACTCATAAATCGCATGCCCATTAACTAATGGACATTTTTTTCGTAATTAGATACAACTTTTTCTTCTTCTTGTAATAAGATTTAGTCTAACATTCTGTATTTTTTACCTAGGAAAAATTATCGATTATCTGCGGTTTCTCATGATTTATTTTAATAAGAGTACTCGTAAAAAGGTTTGCACACTTAAAACCGCCTAGATCGTACTCTATGCTCGTCCTCACCATGATAGTTATTTATTATAATTAAGCCGGTTTTGTTAATGCTATAATTTGCAATATTACCATTGCTATCGCCGGCCATAAAAGTTGAAACAGTAAATCTTTCGAATTCCTTGCAATTGACAATATTGTCAAGTTCATTCCCACTTAGAAAACCATCACGGTTTGTATCGCTAACAGCGAATCTCCATACATAACCTCTTACTTCAGAGGTAGAAATGACGATTCCGTTCTAAAAAATCAACAAAGTGATTCATGTAGTACATATTTGGATTATGTAAAACATACTCTATGGGCTGTGATAACATCGACATCATCAATTTTTCATAGAAGAGCATATTATCCATTACAGATTTTTGGTGGATCCAATAGTTTTCCCTTTTAAAAGTTTTTAAAAATTAAGTTTTTTAGATTTGTTTAAAATAAATTATTAAAAATTAATCCAAATTGACAAGACTTTTAATTTTGATTCGCGCAAAACTATAGTAAAGATGATAGATGTGATAGCCTGGCAACAAAAAAACTATGGCCAAAAAAAATGGGGGGGGTGTCCTGATAAAAGCATACAAAACGTAAACGTAATAATACTACTAATATTACTTTATCGTTGGCCGTTGTGTTGTATTCTGCTGAAACAATCACCAGCTCTTGCATCTCTAAGGGCCACTTTTCTAAGGTCAAAATAAAAAATACATTTTTTAATTTATTAAAATGTATACTCATTGAATCATATTTGAGAAAAAGAAATCGAAAAATAAAAATAAATCTAAATTAAATTTTTTGCAATATAAACAAAAATCACAGAACATTACAATAAAGTAAAAGATAATTCTATACTTATTGTTTCGTACAGCTGATGAAAAAATATTACGCCAACTCTACATAGAACAATTACAACAACCATCGAGATAATATCAAAAATATATTCTTACGAAAGCGTTCAAATTCCAACGCATCATGAACGCCAGAAATTATTGGTAGCCAATTGATGAACTCTTTTATTTTTTCGGATTCAATATAATCGTTATTTTTGTTTTGTAGTATGTTAATGCTCAGAAATGTAATCTGACTCATGTCGAGCCCTCTGTTTAATTCATCTATGCCCTATAAACAAATATTTGAATCAAGTAAATATTAAATGTACAGATGTTGTTTGACTTTTTTTTTTAATGCTATAATGCGCTAAAAATTTACGAAACATATTTTTTTTAGACATGCTAAATGGTATGACAGGCATAATCATAACTATATGTGTATTTTACCAAGTCTTTAACGAAACCATAAATTCTTACTTTATATTTTATTGCCAAAATGCCGAATAAGAACTCCGCAAAATTAACCGTTTCGTCATCTATAAATATGAACTTAAATTATCAATCATTGGAATTAAAATAACTGCTTCTCTAACTAAATAACACCTTGTAAAAACTCAGCGAAATCTTCTTTCTCTTCTCGATTTAATCTTAAACCTTCAATGATATTTTTGAATTCCTCCAGGTTAATTAGACCATCAACAACGGGACCTTGATTTTCATGATATGTGAACAGACTTAAGTAAACTATTACTTCTTGGGATGATAGACTTATGATCTATGTAGAAAAACATGTAAAAAAAAAAAAAAAACATATTAGTTACGAATTTTTCCATACTTTTGTTTTCGTTATTACCACCCAGCTGTCTTCAATCTTATTGTTTTTGGCCAGATATACCATTAAACGTTGTGTTTTTTGGCCGTCTGTCGTACCTACATTTAAAAATGAAATTGTAAATATATTTTAATCAGGCTGGTCAAGACAGGTGCGTTAAATTGTAGAATATTGTAAATGCTATGAAGATTTTTTTATGTGGGAGGGGGTAGGGGTAAAATTTAATTGCTATCGTAAAGTTGAAACCTTGTTTAGAAGACAAGAGATTTCAACGAGATATGAAAATGTTCTATCGTGGTTGCAGTCTCGGCTGAAAAATGACTGATTTTTTTTAAGTGGGAGGGGGGGGGGTAAAATTGTATTACAGTCGTAAAGTTAAACTTTGTGTGAAAGATATTTTATTACCTGCTTCGTATTTCCAACCTTCCACATTGTCCACGCCCAATTCTACTAACTTTGATATGAATTGTTCAGGGGGAATTTCGTCTACAGTGTTTTCAGATTCTTTTACTAAATCAACAATCAGTTGGACTTGTGCCAAATTGACTCCGACACTCTATTAAATTCCATAAGTACAATAATAAGAGTACATACCATTAACTACTGACATTTTATTTTTTATTGTATTTATAATTTGTATTATTAGGTTTTATACTAACCTTTGTCATGGTCACGAAGTACAACGCATAGAGGATAACTGCAATTATGAAATGCATAATGGTTTTTTTTCTTTCAAACAATTTTGTTGAACCAGAAGTATGTCTTCGATACCAATATCGGATGAACAGTGAAATTTGATTCGATCTGGGGTGTCTTTTATAAGGCGCGATTGACAAAAACAATATAAGCATGTAAACGGAAAATATTGGTAGGTAGTTGTTTTTCGTTTTATTCTATTTACATATTAAATGCGTAACGAGTGGTGTTTTTGCCCAATGTTGTACATATTTTGTACGTATAGTGCGACCCATAAAAATATTGCATATTTACTTATGTGGAATATAATAACAACATATTTTTTTATCGCACAAAGACCAATACAATATAGCGAATATGTTGGAATCTGCTTGTTTTTTATTATTTTTTTAGCCAGTTATTTGTATCGAGGAACTCGTTGTGGAAAACCACTTGTTTTCGAAAAAAACAACAATATATCTAAAAAAACAATATTAAAGTTATTCCAGAGTTAAAACTTGCCACTTTATGATACCAACGAGTATTTGTCGTTTGTTTACACTGCAACAGTTGTTGTAAAAAATACTGTACTTATTGTAAACTAATGTCTCATTGTTTTTTTCTACAAAATAGAGATTTGTAATACAATTTTAAATGCAATTTAAATACATTTATAATTTAAAATGCATTTTAAATTTGTACCAAAAAGGTTCTCTTTTTTAATTCAAAAATTATACAAATTCACCCATTCCTCTTCAAAATCGAGGGAGATTGTTTTTATAAACAAAAGAATTTGTTTTCGACGGTAGTCAATTACTAGGTCGTTAGAGTGAGATAACAGTCAACGGGTATTTGATACATAGCTGCAATACCTAAGTGGTTAATTGCGATGAGATGAGATACAAAAAACGTTTATAGACCGACGATCAACCAATAGGTTATTCATCTAATTAAAAAAAAATAAAAACGAATAATTTTTTTGCTATTCCTTAGTTTGAGCTGAAGTTTCGATTATTTTATAGTTTCTTCAATCTGTTCGCTTTCTATAACTTAGATATTATGTTTCCTGTATTTTTACATTTGTATGAAAAAACAAAAGCTTATAAAATTAATATTTATGTTAGCATTGTTGCATAGTTTAATGGAATCAAAGCATAGAGGGGACGAAGAGGTCACCAGTCTACAGAAATTAATTTAATGAAAGTGATAAAATCACCTTCAAATAAACGCTTTGATGCTAATTTGTAAACACACTACAGTAAACTATACTAATAATTTAAGAGTGAGACATAAGTATTTGTCCAACACGTGCCCGTCGTCTTTTAATCCATAAAATTATTGATCTATTAATTAAAATAATTATTATTGAAATAATAATACATTTTCAAAACCGATAATGCTTGTATTAGTTTAGGCCTTATAAATAAAAATTCTAGTTGCACCAATCTAAAACTTATAACAGCTATTCGTCGCGTTAATATACTTTTAAAATATTGTAACACTGTATTGACATTTTTTGTATGCACACTTGTTTTTCGTGCTGTCAAGAACTAGACGGCAGCATGCATGGTCTAGGATGGGTATTTATAATGATTTTGAAATAAAAACACAATTTTGTACTGTATTACATTTTTTTTTCAAATCTTTTCTGATTTTATTAATATAGATTAAAATCGTTGTACATTCACTAAAATCATTAAATAATTAACATAAATGTGTAAAATTATATAGTTCTCAAAAAAAATCATAAAACATGGAAAGTATAACCCATAATTAAAGCATTCCCAAAAAAATACGTTATTAAATCATTTAATATTATATTTAATCTCTAAAAATCTCATAAAACTTTTCACTGCTTAAGCTTGTTAATTATCAAGGTTAAAATCTCCAAAATGTCAAGTTTTTTGTCGCCTGAAAAGTAAAATATTTTTAGTTAATAAGTTTATTTTATTTTGTCTCTAGCTATCCTACTTCAACGTTTTGACCACTATAATATCATAATTTATGTAGAAACATAAACAATCATTTTCTGACAATACTTTTCAGAATCACATGTATTTACCGTATTTAAATAAAAAACACACTAGAGATCATATAAAAACCCAAGGTATTTATCTCATAAATCACATGCCCATTAACTAATGGACATTTTTTTCATAATTAGATACAATTTTTTCTTCTTTTAATATTCTTTAGTCTAAAATCCTTTTTTTTTGCCGAGGAACAATCTTTTTATATCGTTGGTTTCTCGAGATTTATTTTAATAAAATCACTTGTAAAAATGTCTGCACACTTAAAACCGCCTAGATCATACTCTACACTTATCCTCACCATGACAGTTATATAATATAATTAAGCCGGTTTTGTTAACCCTATAACATGCAATATTACCACTGCTATCGCTGTCCATTAGAGATGAAACAGTTTCTCCTTCGAATTGCTGACACTTGACAACCTCGTCAAGTTCATCCCCACTGAGAAAACCGTCAAGGTTTTTATCGTGAGCAGCGAATCGCCATACATAACCTCTAACTTCAAAGGCAGGAATGACTCCTTTCTAAAAAATCAACAAAGTTGTTCATGTAGCACATTTTTAGATTATGTAGAATATACTTAATGGGCTGTGATAGATAGCATCGACTTCATTACATTTTTATAGGAAGATCATATTGTCCATCACAGTTTTATCTTTTATACATTTTTTTTAGTATTTTTTTTATAAATTATTAAAAAATTAGTCCAAATCGTCAAGACTTTTGATTTTGATTCGCGCAAAACTATAGTAAATAAAAAATATGTAATATTTTTTTAAGAAATTACTGTGATAGCCTGCCAACGAAAAAACTATAGCCAATAAACATTCCTCATTACTGTATCAATGAGTGTGAACTATAGTTGAAGCTCTAAATTTACTGAAAACTTAATGGTTCAGACTTGGCCAACACTTTCCTATACGTTACTACTTCAATAAATGGGATGGGGGGTGTCCTGATAAAAGCATACAAAACGTAAACGTAATAAAACTATGAATTTACTTCATCGTGGGCTCTTGTGTTGTATTCTGCTGAAACAACCACCAGCTCTTGTATCTCCAAGGGCCACTTTTCTAAGGTCAAAATATTAAATAAATTTTTTAATTTATTAAAATGTATACTCATTGGATCATAGTTGAGAAACAAAAAATCGAATGATAAAATAAATCTAAATTAAATTGCAATTTTATTTAAACAAATAAAAATAACAGAACATGATATTGTAAAAGATAATTTTATACTTATTGATTCGTATAGATGAAAAGTTATTTTGCCAACTCTACAAAAACTATATTAAAAACCATCGAGATAATATCAAAAATATATTCTTACGAAATCTTTCAAAATTCCATTCATCATGCGGGCCAATAATTATTCGTAACCAATGGATGAACGATATTATTTTTGGAGATTGAACGAAATCGCCATTTTTGTTTTGTAGTGTATTCATTTTCAGAAATGTAATCTGATTTATGTCTAGCCCTCGGTCTAATCCTTCTATGCCCTATGAACAAATATTTGAAGCATGTAAATATTAAAAGTACGAATGAAGTTTGACTTTTTTTTAATGCTATAATGCGCTAAAAATCTACGAATTATATTTTTCTTAGACATGTTAAAAGACATGCCAGGCAAAATCATAACTATTTGTGTATTTTATCAAACCTTTAACGAAACCATAAATTCTTACTCTTTCTTTTACTGTCAAAAAGCCAAATAAGAACTCTGCGAAATTAACCGTTTCGTCACCTATAAATATTTATTTGAATTATTACTCATTGGAATTAAATTAACTGCATCTCTAACTCAATAACACCTTGGAAAAACCATTCCAAACTTCTTTTCCCGGCTTGATTTAATCCTAAAGCTTGAATGACACTTTTTACTTCGTTGAAGTTAAGCAGACCATCTGCAATGGAGCCTTCTTGTTTGTCCTGATAAGTGAACAGGCTTAAGAACACTATTACTTCTTGGGATGATAAACTTCTGGTCTACGTGGAAAATCATGTATGAAAATAAGAAAATCATATTAGTAACGAATTTTCCCAATTTTTTTGTTTTCGTTATTACCACCCATTTGTCTTCCGTCTTATTGTTTTTGGCCAGATATACCATTACACTTTGTGTTTTTTGGCCGTCTGTCGTACCTACATTTAAAAATAAAATTGTAAGTATATTTTAATCAAGCTAGTCAAGACGAGTGCGTTAAATTGAAAAATGTTGTAAACGCTGGAAAGATTCATATAATTTTTTAGTGACAATTTTGGACATTTTCATGTCTTTGTCCTGGCACATAACTAAAAAAAGCGTTACCAAAATAGAAATTGGGTTGAAGATGAGGTTGGGGGTGGGAATGGGGTTGGGGATGGGCGTGGGAATTAACCGAAAAAAAGTGCTAACAAAAAAAGCGTTTCGCTGTTATCTGATACGAAATAAGAGATAGGGGTGTGTGATAGAGGGTGAGTGATAGGGGTAGGTGGTAGAGGGTGAGTGATAGGGGTTGGGAGTTAGTGTTGAGGGACTGGGGTGAGTGATAGGGTAGGCGATAGGGGTGGGTGATAGGGTGGGAGATAGTGGGTCGTATAAGGGTGAGAGATAGTGGTGGGGGATAGGGGTTAAGTGATAGGGGTGGGGGATAGAGGTGAGTGATAGGGTGGGAGATAGTGGATAGGGGATAGGGGTAAGATATAGAAGATAAGAGACAAGGGATATGTTGTACGTTCAACGTTCAAATTAGAACTAAATAATAAAGCAGTTCAAAACAGTTTAAGGGCCCAAATTCTCTATGAATTGTTTTAAGCCAGATAACAAACACTACAATTTTAGCCAGAAACTTGACGTTTTAATATACTAGCTTGACACTGCTTCTTAATATACTATATCATTATCTACAATTCCACCACTACTCTAAATTTATTCGGTACTTCAACGAGACATGAAAATGTTCTATCGTGGTTGCAGACTCGGCTGAAAAATGACTGATTTTTTTTAAGTGGGAGGGGGGGGGTAAAATTGTATTACAATCGTAATGTTAAACCCTGTGTGGAAGATAATTTATTACCTGCTTCGTATTTCCAACCTTCCACATTGTCCACGCCCAATTCTACTAACTTTGATATGAATTGTTCAGGGGGAATTTCGTCTACATTGTTTTCGGATTCTTTTACTAAATCAACAATCAGTTTCACTTGATCCAAATTGACTCCGACGCTCTATAAAATACCATAAGTACAATAATAATAATACATTCTATTAACTACTGACATTTTATTTTTTATTGCATTTATAATTTTTATTATTATGTTTTATACTAACCTTTGTCATGGTCACAAAGTACAACGCACAGAGGATAACAGCAATTTTGAAATGCATTATGGTTTATTTTTTTCAAACACTTTGTTGAACCAGTAGTAAGTCTTCGATACCAATATCGAATGAACAGTGGTATTTGATTCGATCCGGGGCGTCTTTTATAAAATGCGATTGACAAAAATAATATAACTATGTAAATGGGAAATAATGGAAGTAGGTATTGTTTTTCGTTTTAATCTATATACATATAAAGTTCGTGTATAAAGAGTGTTTTTTTTACCCAATTGTACATATTTTGTAAGTATAGTGCAACCCAAAAAAAAATGCATATTTACTTATGTGGAATAAAATAACAACACATTTTTTTATTCGCTGTACATCGCACAAAAACCAAAACAGTTTATCAATCAAAAAATGTTATTAAATCTTCAAATAATAATATTTGATGAAAATAACTGTTCTGTCATCAATAAATATGAACTTAAATTATCAAACATTGGAATTAAATTATCTGTTTCTCCAACTAAAGAACACATTGGAAAAACCCAGTAAATGTATCTAAGTAAATTTATCTAATTAGTAAAAATGTTTCTAATTAGAGCTAATTAACTTGAGGCATTAAATGTTGAAGGGTGATGTTGCCAGTCCCCACTAAACCATACTAATTATGTATACTTTTATCATTAAAGTTAAAGGTTCGGAGAATTGTAGGTTTTAATTATAATTCTACGGTCAACTTCGTAGGTTGGGTAATTAAGGGGTCGTTCCTTTGTCAATGGTCAACGTAAAAAAAATATAATGGGTACTTTTTGTTTTAATTTTTATATTTTTCCAATAGTGAAATACGTTAGGTTATGTTTTATAGCTATGGATTTATATCTTTTTAAACCTGTTCGCTTTCTATAACTTTGTACAGACATTACCTACGTTCCTGTATTTTTTCATTTATACAAAAAAAAACAGTAGCTCATAAAATTCATATTTATGTTAGCATTGTTCCATAGTCGAAAACAGCGGTAAATCGACCCAATATAATGTGCGTAGATAATTATACACAATCGGTTTTTATCTACCACTTTAAAGACAGTGAGAGCAAAGGTTTTTTTTTTGGCAACCTAAGAAATAGGGGGAAATACAAAATTTTAACAAAGTTATAGCATATAAGTTAAAAACATATTATGTTTCTACTTGAAAAGAAGTATTGAAATAGAAGTAGTTTATTATATTTACATATTAAATGCTTTAAGAGTGGTTTTTTTACCCAATTGTACATATTTTGTACGTATAGTGCGACCCAAAAAAATATTGCATATTTACTTATGTGGAATAAAATAACAACATATTTTTTTATCGCACAAAGACCAAAACAAATATAGCGAATATGTTAGAAGCTGCTTGTTTTTTATTATTTTTTAGCCAGGTGTTTGTATTGAAAAACTCGTTGTGGAAAACAACTTGTTTTCGAAAAAAAACTACAATATATCTGAAAAAACAATAATAAAGTTATTCCAAAGTTAAAACTTGCAACTTTATGATACCAACGAGTATTTGTCGTTTGTTTACACTGCAACAGTTGTTGTAAAAAATACTGTACTTCATTGTAAACTAATGTGTCATTGTTTTTTTTTACAAAATAGAGATTTGTAATACATTTTTAAATGCAATTTAAATACATTTATAATTTAAAATGCATTTTAAATTTGTACCAAAAAGGTTCCCTTTCTTAATCCAAAAATTATTAAAATTCACCCATTCCTCTTCAAAATCGAGAGAAAGCCTTTTTTTTATAAATAAAAGAATTAATTTTCGACAGTAGTGAATTACTAGGTTGTTAGAGTGAAATAACAGTCAACGGGTATCAGGTACATAGTTGTAATACCTAAGCGGTTAATTGCGATGAGATGGGAAACAAAAAACGTTTATAGTCCGGCGATCAACCATTAAGTTATTCAACTAATTAAACAATAATAAAAACGAATAACTTTTTTGCTACTCCTTAGTTTGAGCTGAAGTTTTGACTGTTTTATAGTTTCTTCAATCTGTTCGCTTTCTATAACTTTGTAGATATTATGTTTCCTGTATTTTTACATTTGTATGAAAAAACAATAGCTTTTAAAATTAATATTTATGTTAGCATTTTTCCATTGTGTAATGGAATCAAAGCATAGAGGGGACGAAGAGGTCACAAGTCCACAGAAATTATTTTAATAAAAGTGATAAAACCACTTTTAAATAAACGCTTTGGTGCTAATTTATAAACACTGCACCTCACTTCAATTCTTATAGACTATGCTGGTTTATACTGTGTTTGGTTTGGACTTTACTTGTTTGAAAATACTAACTACTGATTCGCATCGAAGCGTTTATTTGAATGTGACTTTATCACTTTCAGTTGTAATAATTCCTGTAAACCGGTGACACCCCACTATACCCCAAACCCATTTTACTGGCTTTATCATATTGTTTTTTATATATTGTGATCACAATTTTTCATACATTTTTTTGTTTTTACCACCCTCTTCACTCAATTGTGAGCTTAAGTTAGATCTTAAAAATTGTGATGGGTCGATAACTAGTTTTGGATAAATATTTTGTATAGTTATTGAAGTTTCGAGTTTAGGGCAGGTGGAAAGGTGGAATGTAGTATGAGATTTATCTGGCCGCATTATCAAAACTTGTTGTGTCCTTATTGCAATAAGGCGAAATAAACCACACAACTTACAACGGGATTTTAATACATAACCGAATAAGAAACGAAATATTCAGTTATTTAGGAAAATATAAAAGCATGTAAATTGAAAATATCGGTAGGTAGTTGTTTTTCATTTTATTTTATTTACATATTAAATGCAAAACGAGTGGTGTTTTTACCCAATTGTACATATTTTGTATGTATAGTGCAAACCTAAAAAATATTGCATATTTACTTATGTGGAATAAAATAACAACATATTTTGTTATCGCACAAAGACCAAAACAATATAGCGAATATGTTAGAATCTGGTTGTGTTTATTATATTTTAGCCAGTTGCATGTATCGAAAAACTCGTTGTGAAAAACAACTAGTTTTCGAAAAAAAAACAACAATATATCTAAAAAAACAACGATAAAGTTTTTCCAAAGTTAAAACTTGCAACTTTTTGATACCAACGAGTATCTGTCGTTTGTTTACACTGCAACAGTTGTTGTAAAAAATACTGTATTTATTGTAAACTAATTTGTCATTGTTTTTTTGTACAAAATAGAGACTTGTAATACAATTTAAAATGCAAGTTCCCTTTATTAGTGTAAAAATCATAAAAATTTACCCATATCTCTTCAAAATCGAGAGAAAGAATTTTTTTTATAAATATAAGACTTAATTTTCGACAGTAGTCAATTACTAGGTCGTTAGAGTGAAATAACTGTCAACGGGTATCTGATACATATTTACAATACCAAAGTGGTTAATAGCGATAAGATGGGGAAAAAAAATGTTTATAGACGTCGATCAACCATTCGGTTATTCATCTTAGTGGGACTACTGTACGTTCAATCATAAACTAGTCAATATTAGAAATACAAAATATTATAGAATAAAATTTACCTAATGAGTGTTTTTTTAGCCAGTTTATTTATTCATGTGAAATAAAATACTCATTATTTAATATTTTGCCACATGTTTGTATTACCTGTGGAAATCTACATGTGTTTTCGAACAATGTATCTATAAAAACATGACCTAAAAGATTGTGATATTTAAAAAAAAATTTTGTCATATGTTTACATTGCTAATACAGTCTACCACCAAAAGTCGTAAACCAACAAACATAATATCTATAATAAATTTGTGTCGATATTACAATTCTTAATTAATGTGATTAAAAAAAAGAATACTGCACACATATTTGAAACTGCGTAGTTGGATTTTTTTTTTTATATATACCAAAACTGTCTTATTTCGACTTATCCCTTAAGTTTTAAACCTTATGTACTTATGCTATTTAAATGTATTTGTAGATACATTTAGAATAATGCACTAAAAGAAATGCCTTATTCTTAACTAATTACGCTATACTTTCATGATAGTTTAAGATAAAATACTCTTAAACCAATGTAACTAAAGTAGTTTTTCTTTTCAGAATTGAGAGACACTTAAGTTTATCAACACTTAAAGAACACATTACTTTTTCCTAAAGATTTTATATTTTTATACTAGAGCTATTCGATCAGTATCGATTAAAATATAGACAATTCATAACTGCGATTCATCGCGTTAAGACTTTAAAAATATTGTAACACTGTTTTGAAATTTTTTGTATGCACACTTGTCTTTATGCTGTTAAGAACTAGACAGCAGCCTGCATGGTCTAGGATGAATGTATATGATTTTGAAATAAAAACAATTTTTACGGTATTACAGTTTGTATTTAATCGTTTAATGAGTTGACACGGTCAAATTTAAAAAAAAATCTTATCTCATTTTATTAATATAGATTAAAAACGTTGTACATTAAATACTAAAATCATTAAATAATTAACATAAATGTGTAAAATTATACAGTTTTGAAAAGAATCATAAAACATAAAAAGTGTTATCCATAATTATAGTACTCCCAAAAAATATACGTAAGTATATCATTTAATATTATATTCAATTCAGCAAAAACTCAAAAAACTTTTTACTGCTTAAGCTTCTTAATTATCAAGGCGAACATTTCCAAAATGTCAAGTTTGCCGTCGCCTGAAAGTTAAAATGTTTTTAATTAAGAAGTTTATTTTATTTTGTCTCTAGTTCTACTTCAACCTTTTGACCACTATAACATATCATAATTAATGTGGAAACTTAAACAATCATTTTCTGACAACTCTTTTCAGAATCACATGTATTCACCGTATTCTTAAAATATTAACACTAGAGATCATATAGAACCCAAGAAATCTGACTCATTAATCGCATGCCCATTGACTAATACAATTTTTTTTCATAACCATACACAACTTTTTCTTCTTCTTCTAATAATCTTAAGTCTAAAATTCTTTTGTTTTTACCGAGGAAAAATCTTCGATTATCACGGCGGCTTCTCGAGATTTATTTTAATAAGTTTACTTGTAAAAATGTCTGCACACTTAAAACCGCCTAGATCATACTCTACGCTCGTTCTCACCATGACAGTTATATAATATAATTAAGCCGGTTTTGATAACCCTATAACATGCAATATTACCACTGCTATCGCCGTCCATTAGAGATGAAACAGTTTCTCCTTCGAATTGCTGACACTTGACAACCTCGTCAAGTTCATCCCCACTGAGAAAACCGTCAAGGTTTTTATCGTTAGCAGCGAATCTCCATACATAACCTCTAACTTCAGAGACAGAAATGACTCCTTTCTAAAAAATCAACAAAGTTATTCATGTAGCACATCTTTAGATTATGTATAATATACTATATGGGCTGTGATAGCATCGACTTCACCAAAATTGTCATAGAAAAATAGCAGATCATATTGTCTATTACAGTTTTTCCTTTTACACATTTTTAAAGTTTATGTTTTTTAGTATTTTTTTTATATATTATTTAAAAATTAGTCCAAATCGTCAAGTCTTTTGATTTTAAATCGCGTAAAACTTTAGTAATGAAAAAATATGTAATATTTTTCTAAAGAAATTACTGAGATAACCTGGCAACAGAAATATTACAACCAATAAACAATCCTCATTGCTGTATTATTGAGTGTGCACTATAGTTAAAACTGTAAATTAAGACTTTGACAATAATTTCCTATACTTTACTACTTCAATACATGTGGGGCCTTACAGAATTATGGAATAAAAGAAGAATAATTAAAGGGATTCAAAATAAAGAAATTCCGTTGATCTTACAAGAAGGAAATGTAATCTATAACACCCCATCTGAAAAAGCCGAAGCATTCGCAAATATCTTTAAAAAAATCAGCAGTGATGACAACTTTTCTCCTCAATTCAAATATATCAAACGAAATAAAGAAACAGACAACCACCCAAATGAAACATTCATTTCTCCCTTTAGCTTATCAGAACTTTTATCAGCCCTTTAAGGCTGTAATAGTAAACACAGTACTGGACATGATGATATCCCCTTCATAACAATTACCTAACAACGCAATCCATGTTCTATTAAAAATATTTAGCACTCTGTGGCAAAATCAAACATTCCCCGCTTCCTGGAAAAAAAACCCATTATTATTCCAATTAAAAAACCCAATAAGGATCGTTTTACAATCCCATCATACAGGCCTATATATCCCTAATTTTTACACTAAGTAAGCTAATCGAAAAAATGGTTAGTAAAAGACTTAATTGGACCCTCAATGGCATGTCTAGGAGGGAACAAACTACGTTGGCAAGATTAAGAATAGGATACTCCCGGATTACTCATCTCCACCTTATCAAAAAAGAGCCACAACCTAGATGTGAAGTTTGTGACATGGAGGCTATAATTAAGCATATAATTATTGATTGTCGTCGGTGGTCTCACGAAAGAAATATTTTTGGTAGCGACAGAAGCCTCAAAACCATATTGAGTACCGAGAATGTTCCCAAATTGTTCAATTTTTTAAATAATATCAACATGTATAATAATGTGTAAACGTATTGTATTATAAAAGCTCAATTATGTGTATTGTAATTAATTAACCAATGTCTGGCAAATAGCCTAGCTGCTGAAGCCATGGTAAAAAAAAAAAAAAAGTGGGGGTGTCCCGATAAAAGTATACAAAACGTAAACGTATAAAAACTATTAATATTACTTTATCGTTGGCCGTTGTGTTGTATTCTGCTGAAACAACCACCAGCTCTTGCATCTCTAAGGGCCACTTTTCTAAGGTCAAAATAAAAAATACATTTTTCAATTTATTAAAATGTATACTCATTGAATCATAGTCGAGAAACAAAAAATCGAAAAATAAAAATAAATCTAAATTAATTGCATTTTTATTTATAAAAATAATAGAACATGATTAAGTTAAAGATAATTTTATACTTATTGATTCGTATAGATGAAAAGTTATTTCGCCAACTCTACATAGAACAATTATAACAACCATTGAGATAAAATTGAGATCAAAAATAAATTCTTACGAAAGCGTTCAAATTCCCACTCATCGTGCTTGCCAATAATTATTCGTAAACCATGGATGAACGTTATTATTTTTAAAGATTGAATGATATCGTTTCTTTTGTTCTGTAGTATATTATTGCTCAGATATATAATCTGATTCATGTCTAGCCCTCGGTCTAATCCTTCTATGCCCTATGAACAAATATTTGAATCATGTAAATATTAAAAGTACGAATGAAGTTTGACTTTATTTTTAATGCTGTAATGCACTAAAAATCTACGAATTATATTTTTCTTAGACATGTTAAAAGGCATGCCAGGCAAAATCATAACTATTTGTGTATTTTATTAAGCCTTTAACGAAACCATAAATTCTTACTCTTTCTTTTACTGTCAAAAAGCCAAATAAGAACTCCGCGAAATTAACCGTTTCGTCACCTATAAATATTTATTTGAATTATTACTCATTGGAATTAAATTAACTGCATCTCTAACTCAATAACACCTTGGAAAAACCATTCCAAACTTCTTTTCCCGGCTTGATTTAATCCTAAAGCTTGAATGACACTTTTTACTTCATCTGGGTTAAGCAGACCATCTTCAATGGAGCCTTGTTTGTCCTGATAAGTGAACAGGCTTAAGTAAACTATTACTTCTTGGGATGATAAGCTTCTGGTCTACGTGGAAAAACATGTAAGAAAATAAGAAAATCACATTAGTTACGAATTTTTCCATAATTTTGTTTTCGTTATTACCACCCATTTGTCTTCGGTCTTATTGTTTTTGGCCAGATATACCATTACACTTTGTGTTTTTTGGCCGTCTGTCGTACCTATATTGAAAAATAAATTGTAAGTTTATTTTAATCAAGCTAGTCAAGACCAGTGCGTTAAACTGAAAAATGCTATAAATGCTGGAATGATTCATATAACTTTTTAGGGACAATTTTTTTCCACGTGGGAAGGGGTAGGGATAACATTTTATTACAATCGTAAAGTTTAACCCTGTGTGAAAGATATTTTATTACCTGCTTCGTATTTCCAACCTTCCACATTGTCCACGCCCAATTCTACTAACTTTGCTCTGAATTGTTGTGGGGTAGTTTTGTCTACAGTGATTTCGGATTCTTTTACTAAATCAACAATCAGTTTGACTTGTTCCAAATTGACTCCGACGCTCTATAAAATACCATAAGTACAATAATAAGAGTACATACCATTAACTACTGACATTTTATTTTTTATTGTATTTATAATTTGTATTATTAGGTTTTTATACTAACCTTTGTCATGGTCACGAAGTACAACGCACAGAGGATAACTGCAATTATGAAATGCATAATGGTTTTTTTTCTTTCAAACAATTTTGTTGAACCAGAAGTATGTCTTCGATACCAATATCGGATGAACAGTGGAACTTGAATAATTGATCCGATGTGTCTTTTATAAGGTGCGATTGATAAAAAACTATGTAATTGGGAAATATTGGTAGATTGTATTTTTTTTTCGTTTTATTATTATATGATATAAATTACAACATATTTGTTTATTTGCTGTACACATTTGCTCGCACAAAGACAAAAACAATACAGCAAATATGTTAGAAAATGCTTGTTTTTTTTATTAATTTTTAGCCAGTTGTTTGTATCGAAAAACTCGTTGTGGAGAACAAATATTTTCTTATGTAAAAAAAAATAACAACACATTTTTTTATTTGCTGTACATCGCACAAAACCCAAAACAATATATCGTACAAAAAATGTTATTACATTTTCATATAATATATTATTTGATGAAAATAACTGTTCTGTCTAATATCTATAAATATGAATTTAAATTCACAATCATTGGAATTAAATTAACTGTTTTTTTGGTCAACTATGTAGGCTGGGTAATTAAACAAACTTAATGGGTACCCTTTGTTTTAATTTTTATATTTTTCCAATAGTGAAATACGTTAGGTTATGTTTTATAGCTATGGATTTATATCTTTTTAAACCTGTTCGCTTTCCATAACTTTGTACAGATATTACCTACGTTCCTGTATTTTTTCATTTATACAAAAAAAAACAGTAGCTCATAAAATTCATATTTATGTTAGCATTGTTCCATAGTCGAAAACAGCGGTAACTCGACACAGTATAATGTGCTTAGATAATTATACACAATCGGTTTTTATCTACCACTTTAAAGACAGTGAGAACAACGGTTTTCTTTTTGGCAACCTAAGAAATAGGAGGAAATTGAAAATGTTAACTAAGTTATAGGAAACAAACGGATTGATGAAATTATAATTCTAAAATATTCTGAATATTCATGTTATATATTTATAGAGTTAAAAAAATATGTTCCCAATTGAAAAAAAGTGTTGAAAAATATATAACTGCAATAGTATGCAAAAAAAATAATTTTCAAAATGTTCATATTTTTCAAAAAACTAGTGTTTTAAATCAGATGGATCACTCTGTGTATAAATATATACACATATATGTACGTACCTTAAAACAATATATGAATAATGAAAATATGTTGTTGTTCCTATTTTTTATTGTATGCTTTAATGTATGGCTAGCATGTAACTGTTTGAACAAGAATACAAAACATCCCATGAAAATGTGTTTTTTTTTTTTTTAAAGCGTTCAATTTAAATTTTAGACTACTACACAAATAAATGACACACTATCAAAGTGTTTTGATTATTATATGTATGTTTTCATGTAAGAAAACCAAATCTAAGTACGATTATTTGGCAAAATAAAACGACGATAAAAACCATGTTATAATATTTTCAAAAGGGTTTTTTACGAATATGAAAATACACATAGTGGAAACGGTACCATTATACAGGGCGATAAATTTACCACCACTCAATATACTAAAGGGTTTATTAAAGAACTTTATCTTTTTTTAGCTTTGATGCGGAGCACAGATGCTATTGGCTTTAAATTATGTGTGTTTTTTTTTGTGCCTGTATACACTGTAACATTTTTCAAATTGGCCCAATTCCTTCGAGTAGCAACTCTATAAACGACAACTTTTATATAGTTGGTATTTTGGAAAGGGGGGTGGGGGTAGGGTTGAAAAAGTTGAATTATTCACAGTTAAAATTTGAAATAAAATAAAAATACAAACCATTCAAGTTTTGTAGTTTGAACTTTTACAGGCTACAATTTCGAGAAAAAGAGTCGGATAGAGTTGAAATTTATAAAGGAAATTATTTTAATGAAAGTGATAAAATAACTTTCAAATAAAAGCTTTGATGCTAATTTGTAAACACTGCACCTCACTTCAATTCATTTTTACTATGATGATTTATACTGCGCTTGGTTTGGACTTTGCTGGTTTAAAAATATTAACTACTGATTCACATCGAAGCGTTTATTCGAAAGTGACTTTATCATCACTTTCAGTAGTAATAATTTCTGTAAACTTATGACTTTTTCATATCGTTTTTATACAACGATGATCTCAATTTTTCATACATTTTTTTGTTTTAACCTTTCTCCTCTCAATTGTGAGGTTAGGTTAGATCTCAAAAATTGTGATGGGTCGAATACTAGTTTTGGATAAATATTTTGTATAGTTATTGAAGTTTCAAGTTTAGGGCAATTGGAAGGTGGAATGTAGTATCAGATTTATCTGGCCGCATAATCAAAACATGTTGTGTCCTTATTGCAATAAGGAGAAATAAACCACACAACTTACAACGGGATATAAATACGTACCCGAATAAGAAACGAAATATTCAGTTTTTTAGGAAAATATATAGGCATGTAAATGGAAAATATTGATAGGTAGTTGTTTTTCGTTTAATTCTATTTACATATTAAATGAGTAAAAATTTGTTTTTTACTCAATTGTAAATTTGTACGTATAGTGCGAACCAAAAAAATATTGCATATTTTCTTATGTAAAAAAAATAAGAGCACATTTTTTTATTCTCTGTACATCACACAAAAACTAAAACAATAATTCGAACAAAATATGTTATTAAATCTTCATGTAATATTATTCGATAAAAATAACTGTTCTGTCATCTATAAATATATTTATTTGATTTATCAATCATTGGAATTAAATTAACTGTTTCTCTAATTAAATAACACCTTGGTAAAACCCAGTAAATGTACCTATTTACCTAATTTATCTAATTAGTAAAAATTAACTGTGTTTTCGAACAATGTATCTATAAAAACTGTTTTTTGAAAAACAAGACCTTTAAAAAATGTGGTATTGAAAAACAAATTTGTCATTTGTTTACATTGCTAAAACAGTCTACCACTAAAAGTCGTAAGCCAACCAACATAATATCTATAGTGAATTTGTGTCGATATAACATTAAAAAAAAATAATACTGCGCACACTTTTTTATACTGCGTAGTTTGATGTTAATTTTTATATAAACCAAAACTGTCTCATTTCGACTTATCCCTTGAGTTTTAAACCTTATGTACTTAGGCTATTTAAATGTATTTGTAGGTACATTTAGGATAATGCACTAAAAAAAATTCAGTATTCTTAACTAATCATCCTGTATTTCCATGATAGTTTAAAATAAAATAATCTTAAACTAATGTAACTAAATTAGTTTTTCTTTTCAGAATTCATTATTTTAGATTTAATTTTTTTGTTAGGGCTATTTGGTTAGTGTCAATTACAATATAGACAGCTTATAACAGCGATTCATCACGTTAATATACTTTTAAAATATTGAAACACTGTTTTCACAGTTTTTGTATGCACACTTGTTTTTTGTGCTGTCGTGAACTAGACGGCAGCTTGCATGGTCTAGGAGGGGTAGTAATAATCATTTTGAAATAAAAACATAATTTTGTACGGTATTACATTTTTTAATCAAACCTTATCTCATTTTATTAATATAAATTAAAATCGTTGTACATTTACTAAAATCATTAAATAATTAACATAAATGTTTAAAATTATACAGTTTTCAAAAAAAATCATAATACATAGAAAGTATAACTCATAATTAAAGCACTTCCAAAAAATATACGTAAGTAAATCAGTTAATATTATATTCAATTCAGAAAAATACCATAAAACTTTTCACTGCTTCTCAATTATCAAGGTGAAAATCTCTAAAATGTCAAGTTTTTGGTCGCCTGAAAAGTAAAATATTTTTAGTTAAGAAGTTTATTTTATTTTGTTATAAATTGCATGCCCATTAACTAATGGACATTTTTTTCATAATCATATACAACTTTTTCTTCTTCTTCTAACAATCTTAAATCTAATATTCTTTTGTTTTTACCGAGGAAAAATCTTCGATTATCGGCGGTTTCTCGAGATTTATTTTAATGAGTTCACTTGTAAAAATGTCTGCACACTTAAAACCACCTAGATCGTACTCTATGCTCGTCCTCACCATGATAGTTATCTAATATAGTTAAGCCGGTTTTGTTAACGCTATAATTTGAAATATTACCATTGCTATCGCCGTCCATAAGAGATGAAACAGTAAATCGTTCGAAATCCTTGCACGTGACAACCTCGTCAAGTTCAACCCCACTGAGAAAACCGTCATGTGTTCTGTCGTGAACAGCGAAACTCGATACATAACCTCTAACTTCAGAGGTAGGAATGACGATACCGTTCTAAAAAAATCAACAAAATAATTCATGTAGCACATATTTAGATTATGTAGAATATGTATTCTATGGGTTGTAATAGCATCAACTACACCAACATTTTCATAGCTCTAAATTAGACTTGGCCAAAAATTTGTTATGCTTTACTACTTCAATAAATGGGATAGTGGGCGTCCTGATAAATGCATACAAAACGTAAACGTAATAAAACTATCAATTTACTTTATCGTGGGCTATTGTGTTGTATTCTGCTGAAAGCACCACCAGCTCTTGAATTTCCAAGGGCCACTTTTCTAAAGTCAAAATATAAAAATATATGTTTTAATTTATTAAAATATATACTCATGGAATCATGTTTGTGAAACAAAAAATCGAAAAATAAAAATAAATGTTATTTATAAAAATAAAAATAACAGAACGTGATATAGTAAAAGATAATTTTATACTTATTGATTCGTATGGATGAAAAGTTTTTTTGCCAACTCTACAAAAACAATATTAACAACCATCGAGATACTATCAAAAATATATTCTTACGAAAGGGTTCAAAATTCCATGCATCATGCGGGCCAATAAGTATTCGTAACCAATGGATGAACGATATTATTTTTGGAGGTTGAATGAAATCGCCAATTTTGTTTTGTAGTGTATTCATTTTCAGAAATGTAATCTGATTTATGTCTAGCCCTCTGTTTAATTCTTTTATGCCCTATAAACAAATATTTGAATCATGTAAATATGATGTAAGTACGAATGAAGTTTGTCTTTTTTTTAATGTTATAATGCACTAAAAATCTACGAAATATATTTTTCTTAGACATGTTAAATGCCATGCCAGGCGAAATCATAACTATATGTGTATCTTATCAAGCCTTTAACGAAACCATACATTCTTACTGTTTGTTTAACTTTCAAAAAGCCAAATAAGAACTCCGCGAAATTAACCGTTTCGTCATCTATAAATATTAATTTAAATTGTCACTCATTGGAATTAAAATAACTTCTTCTCTAACTAAATAACACCTTTGAAAAACCCTGCCAAACTGTCTTTCTCGCCTTGACTTAATCTTAAAGCTTCAACGATACTTTTTACTTCATCTGGGTTAAGAAGACCATCTTCAATAGAGCCATGTTTGTCATTATATGTGAACAGGCTTAAGTAAACTACTACTTCTTGGGATGATAAATTTGTTATCTATGTAGAAAGACATGTAAGAAAATAAGAAAATCATATTAGCTACGAATTTTCCCATATTTTTGTCTTCGTTATTACCACCCATTTGTCTTCGGTCTTATTGTTTTTGGCCAGATATACCATTACACTTTGTGTTTTTTGGCCGTCTGTCGTACCTACATTTAAAAATAAAATTGTAAGTATACTTTAATCAAGCTAGTCAAGACGAGTGCGTTAATTTGAAAAATGTTGTAAACGCTGGAAAGATTCATATAATTTTTTAATGACATTTTTTTTTAAGTGGGAAAGGTGAGGAGGTAAAATTTGATTACAATCGTAAAGTTTAACCCTGTGTGAAAGATTTTTTATTACCTGCTTCGTATTTCCAATCTCTCACATTCTTTACGCCTAATTCTACTAACTTTGCTATGAATTGTTCAGGGGGAATTTCGTCTACAGTGTTTTCGGATTCTTTTACTAAATCAACAATCAGTTTGACTTGATTCAAATTGACTCCGACGCTCTATAAAAAACCATAAGTACAAAAATAATAAAACATATAATTAACTACTGACATTTAAATTTTTATTGCATTTATAATTTGTATTATTATGTTTTATACTAACCTTTGTCATGGTCACGAAGTACAACGCACAGAGGATAACAGCAATTTTGAAATGCATAATGGTTTTTTTTCTTCCAAACACTTTGTTGAACCAGAAGTAAGTCTTCGTACCAATTACGGATGAACAGTGAAATTTGATTCGATCTGGGGTGTCTTTTATAAGGCGCGATTGACAAAAACAATATAAGCATGTAAACGGAAAATGTTGGTAGGTAGTTGTTTTACGTCTTATTCTATTTACCTATTAAATGCGTAACGAGTGGTGTTTTCACCCAATATTGTACATATTTTGTACATATAGTGCGACCCATAAAAATATTGCATATTTACTTATGTGGAATAAAATAACAACATATTTTATTATTTTCTGTACATCATTTGCTTGCACAAAGACAAAAACAATATAGCGAATATGTTAGAAAATGCTTGTTTTTTTTATTATTTTTTAGCCAGTTAATTGTATCGAAAAACTCGTTGTGGAAAACAACTTGTTTTCGAAAAAAAAACAACAATATATCTAAAAAAACAATAATAAAGTTATTCCAAAGTTAAAACTTCCAACTTTATTTTACCAACGAGTTTTTATCGTTTTTTTACACTGCAACACTTATTGTAAAAAATACTGTTTTTATTGTAAACTAATAAGTCATTATTTTTTTTTTACAAAATTGTGATTTGTAATACAATTTTATTTGCAAGTTGAATACATTTATAATTAAAATACATTTTAAGTTTGTACCAAAAAGGTTCTCTTAATAAGACCAAAATTGATTAAAAATTCACCCATTCTTCTTCAAAATCGAGAGAGAGAATTTTTTAATTCGCATCGAAGCGTTTATTCGAAAGTGGTTTTATCACTTTCAGTAGTAATGATTTCTGTAAACCTGTGACACCCCATTATGCCCCGATCCCATTTCACTGGCTTTATCGTATTGTTATTTTATATAATGTAATCACAATTTTGCATACATTATTTTGGTTTTACCCCCTCCCTTCTCAACTGGAGATTAGGTTTGATCTCAAAAATTGTGATGGGTCGATAACTAGTTTTAGATAAATATTTTCATAGTTATTGAAGTTTCAAGTTTAGGGCAGGTGGAAAGGTGGAATGTAGTATCATATTTATCCGGGGGCACTTCCCATCCCTGGGCTGGGTAACTAAGAGGTCGTCCCTTTGTCCATGGTCGACGTAAACAAACTTAATAGGCCCTTTGTTTTAATTTTTATATTTTTCCAATAGTGAAATAGGTTAGGTTAGGTTTTATAGTAATGGTTTTTTATCTTCTTCAATCTGTTCGCTTTCTATAACTTTGTAAAGATATTATGTTTCGTGTATTTTTTCATTTGTACAAAAAACAGTAGCTTATAAAATTCATATTTATGTTAGCATTAATTAACAACAGCGGTAAATCGACCCAATAAAATATGCGTAGATAATTATACACAATCGGTTTTTATCTACTACTTTATCATCACTTTCAGTTGTAATCATTTCTGTAAACTTATGACACCCCACTATGCCCCGACCCCATTGTACTGGCTTTTTTATATCGTTTTTATACAACGTGATCTCAATTTTTCATACATTTTTTTGTTTTAACCCTTCTCCTCTCAATTGTGAGGTTAGGTTAGATCTCAAAAATTGTGATGGGTCGATAACTAGTTTTAGATAAATGTTTTCATAGTTATTGAAGTTTCAAGTTTAGGGCAATTGGAAGGTGGAATGTAGTATCAGATTTATCTGGCCGCATAATCAAAACATGTTGTGTCCTTATTGCAATAAGGAGAAATAAACCACACAACTTACAACGGGATTTTAATACGTACCCGAATAAGAAACGAAATATTCAGTTATTTAGGAAAATATAAAAGCATGTAAATGGAAAATATTGGTAGGTAGTTGTTTTTCGTTTTATTCTATTTACATATTAAATGCGTAACGAGTGGTATTTTTACCCATTTGTACATATTTTGTACCTATAGTGCGACCCAAAAACATATTGCATATTTACTTATGTGAAACAAAATAACAACATATTTTTTTATCGCACAAAGACCGAAACATTATAGCGAATATGTTAGAAGCTGCTTGGTTTTTTATTATTTTTTAGCCAGTTGTTTGTATCGAAATACTAGTAGAAAACCACTGGTTTTTGAAAAAAAAAAAACAATATCTAAATAAACCACAATAAAGTTATTCCAAAGTTAAAACTTGCAACTTTATGATATCAACCAGAATTTGTCGTTTATTTACACTGCAACAACTGTTGTAAAAAAATACTGTATTCATTGTAACGTGTCCTTGTTTTTTGTTTAAAGTAGAGATTCGTTATACAATTTAAAATGCCAGTTGAATACATTGATAATTAAAATAAATTTCAATTTGTACCAAAAAAGTTCCCTTTATTAGTCCAAAAATTATAAAAATTCACCCATTCCTCTTCAAAATCAAGTGAGAGAAATATTTTCATAAATAAAAGAATTAATTTTCGACAGTAGTCAATAACTAGGTCGTTAGAGTGAAATAACAGTCAACGGGTATCCGATACATATTTGCAATACCTTAGTGGTTAACTGCGATGAGATGGGAAACAAAAAACGTTTATAGACCGATGATCAACCATTAGGTTATTCATCTTAGTGGGACTACAGTCGAATATACATAATATATGATATAAAAAAATAAATAATAAGAAAACTATCGCCGACCATACTTCTTCACTCGTAAAGCTTAGGCAATTATACTAATAATTTAGTAGTGAGACATAAGTATTTGGCCAACACGTGCCCGTCGTCGTTTAGTCCTTAAAATTGCTCTATAAATTAAAAGTATTATTATTATAATAATAATACATTTTCAAAACCGATAATCCTTGTATTAGTTTAGGACTTATAAATCAAAATTCTAGTTGCACTAATTTATGTGGGTAAGTATGATTTTATTTGGACAGGTTAAATCTACAAGTTTACATGCAAAAAAAGCATTGCCGAGCAATCAAAATAACCATTTTGTTTTACTTTTTACAGATGCAATTTAATGTTGATAGTAGTGATGGGAATCCGAAAATCCGGATTTTTCAAAAAAACGCTTTTTAAGTCATTTGAAAATCATATAATTGTTAAATACTATTACGATGTAAAGATGTGTACCTAAGTAAAATTTGTTGATAAAAATTTAAAAAAAAAACTCTTAACTTTGTATTTAAAATGCTTTCGGATTTCGGATTCCGGATTTTCGGATTTCAACAAATCCGAAATTCAAAAGCAATTTATCTCTTTGGTGTTTTGTTTTTTATTTTTACATATTTATCAAAAAAATGTTACTTAGATATAGAGCTTCATATTGTAAAATTTTTTAACACTTAAATGATTTTTAAGTAGCTTAAAATGCGTTTTTTTGTGAAAATCCGGATTTTCCGATTCTCATCACTAGTTGATAGGTATCCTTTTATCCTAATTTTTGTATATTATGTACAACCTTGTATGTTCAATCATGAACTAGGTCGTCAATATTAGAATTACAAAATATTATAAAATACAATCTACTTAACAAGTGTTTTTTCTCGCCCAGTTTATTTATTCATGTGAAACAAAATACTTATTTTTTGTTATTTTTTTGCCACTTGTTTGTATTCACTGTGGAAATCTACATATGTGTTCAAACAATGTATCTATAAAAACTGCTTTTTGAAAAACATGACTTAAAAGATTGTGGTATTAAAAAAAAAAAAATTTGCCATTTGTTTACATTGCTAAAACAGTCTACCACCAAAAGTCGTAAACCGACAAACATAATATCTATAATAAATTTGTCTCGATATTACAGTTTTTAATTAATGAGATTAAAAAAAAATAATACTGCACACATTTTTTTGATACTGCGTAGTTGGATGTTTGTTTTTTTATATACCAAAACTGTCTCATTTCGACTTATCCCTTGAGTTTTAAACCTTATGTACTTAGGCTATTTAAATGTATTTGTAGATACATTTAGTATAATGCACTAAAAAATTGCCTTATTCTTAACTAATCGCATTGAATTTCCACGATAGTTTAGGATAAAATACTCTTAAACTGATGTAACTAAAGTAGTTTTTCTTATCAGAAGAAATTATTTCAGATTCAATTTTTTTATTAGAGCTATTCGATCAGTGTCGATTATAATATAGACAACTCATAACTGCGATTCATCGCGTTAATACTTTTAAAATATTGTAACACTGTTTTTTATGCTGTTAAGAACTAGACGGCAGCCTGCATGGTCTAGGATGAATATATATGATTTTGAAATAAAAACAATTTTTACGGTATTACAGTTTTTATTTAATCGTTAAATTAGTTGACACGATCAAATTTAAAAAAAAAATCTTTTCTCATTTCATTAATATAGATTAAAATCGTTGTACATTAAATACTAAAATCATTAAATAATTAAAATATATGTATAAAATTATACAGTTTTGAAAAGAATTATAAAACATAAAAAGTGTTATCCATAATTAAAGCACTCCCAAAAAATATACGTATTCAGCAAAACCTCATAAAACTTTTTACTGCTTAAGCTTCTTAATTAGCAAGGCAAAAATCTCCAAAATGTCAAGTTTTTTGTCGCCTGAAAAATAAAATATTGTTAGTTAAGAAGTTTATTTTATTTTGTCTATAGCAATTCTACTTCAACATTTTGACCACTATAACATATCATAATTAATGTGAAAACATAAACAATCATTTTCTGACAATACTTTTTAGAATCACATGTATTCACCTTATTCTTAAAATATTAAACACTAGAGATCATATAGAACCCAAGAAATCTATCAGTAAAAAGGTTTGCACACTTAAAACCTTCTAGATCGTACTCTATGCTCGTCCTCACCATGATAGTTATTTAATATAATTAAGCCGGTTTTGTTAACGCTATAATTTGCTTTATTACCACTGCTATCGCCGTCCATAAGAGATGAAACAGTTTCTCCTTCGAATTGCGTACACTTGACAACCTCGTCAAGTTCAACCCCACTGAGAAACCCGTCAAGGTTTTTATCGTGAGCAGCGAATCGCCATACATAACCTCTAACTTCAAAGGCAGGAATGACTCCTTTCTAAAAAATCAACAAAGTTATTCGTGTAGCACATCTTTAGATTATGTATAGTATACTCTATGGGCTGTGATAGCATCGACTTCACCAAAATTGTCATAGAAAAATAGCAGAGCATACTGTCCATTACAGTATTTTCTTTTACACATTTTTAAATTTATGTTTTTTAGTATTTTTTTTATATATTATTAAAAAATTAGTCCAAATCGTCAAGACTTTTGATTTTGAATCTCGCAAAACTTTAGTATTGAAAAAAAAATGTAATATTTTTCTAAAGAAATTACTGAGATAACCTGGCAACAAGAATATTACAGCCAATAAACAGTCCTCATTGCTGTATTAATGAGTGTGCACCATAGTTGAAACTCTAAATTAAGACTTTGACAATATATCCTATACTTTACTATTTCAAAAAAAGAGGGGGCGTCCTGATAAAAGCATACAAAACGTAATCGTAAATAAAAAATTAATCTAAAAATAACGTTTTTATGCGCCTTTAAAAGTATAAAATAACCATCCGGAGGTCTTGATAACCAAATAGGACAGATGAACTAGAAAAACGTGGGGTGCATCTTTCTACTTAGATATTAAAACCTAAGCTTTCATGCTAATGCATTAAGTTGTCTCTAATAATGCTGTCTCTCTAACCGGACGGATCAGAAAGTGATAGTATGACTTGTTTTTGGGAATGAAATTTAATGGATTTCCGTGCCACTTGCCTTAAATTTCATTGCAAATTGAAAAGACTTAATTGCTATTCTCTCCAAAGTTTGTTTTATGTAGGTTGCTTCAATTTTTTTGTTAACTACCTACTTGCTTAACATTTAAAGTAATGTGGTGCTCAATTTTACATGACATGTCATTAAGTATTATTTTATTTAGAAGAGAAAAGATGATTGTGCATGAATTACGAGTTAAGGTAGTTATTAATGAGAAGAGAATGTTATTATATACTCAGACGTGTGAAGTAGTAAAGATGCGCCCCACGTTTTTCTAGTTCACCTGTCCTATTTGGTTATCAAGACCTCCGGAGGGTTATTTTATACTTTTAAAGGCGCATAAAAACGTTATTTTTAGATTAATTTTTTAATCTACTGTAGTTATTTTGTTCTTTTTCGTTTTCGTATGTACGTATCTATACATTTAAATGTACAATGTTATTGCTGCATGGTCAGAAGGATTATCATAAGAATTAGTAATCAATTTAAAAGCTTATAATTTTAGATTGATAACTGTATAAATTATCATAAAAGTTGAAATTAAGTTGTAATTACTATATAAATTATCATAAAAGTTGAATAAAAGTTGTTAGAAAATGCAAAAAAGTGTAATGATGGGAACGGGTTTGAGAACCTGGTACCGCTCATATCTGAGCACCGTTCACGCCCAAACGCACCACGCATAGCTGTTGCTGTCGCCCGCTGCTGGGGGTGAGATATAAGTCTTTTTGAATTGCAAGATTCCCCCGGAACGACGGACAAGAAATCGACCCCATTTAAACCCACTTAGGGGTGGAATTTTCAACCTCTTGTGGATTAATAATGCATTGTCATCGAATTGTGAGCTACTCTGAAAGTTTCAGCCGGATAGCTAATCGGGAAGTGCTCGAAATTTGAGTTGCAAGATTCCACCCGGAACGACAAACAAGATTGTGAGTTCATAAAAACGATATAAAAAAACTATTAATATTACTTTATCGTTGGCCGTTGTGTTGTATTCTGCTGAAACAACCACCAGCTCTTGCATCTCTAAGGGCCACTTTTCTAAGGTCAAAATAAAAAATACATTTTTTAATTTATTAAAATGTATACTCGTTGAATCATAGTTGAGAAACAAATAAATTGAAAAATAGAATAAATCTAAATAAAATTGCAATTTTATTTATAAAAATAATAGAACATGATTAAGTAAAAGATAATTTTATACTTATTGATTTGTGTAGATGTAAAGTTATTTTGCCAACTCTACATATTAACAACATTAACAACCATCGAGATAATATCAAAAATATATTCTTACGAAAGCGTTCAAATTTCCATTCATCATGCTGGCCAACAACTATTCGTAACCAATCGATGAACGTTATTATATTTGCGGATGGAATGAAATCGTAATTTTTGTTTTGTAGTATATTATTGCTCAGAAATGTAATCTGATTCATGTCTAGCCCCCGGTCTAATCCGTCTATGCCCTATGAACAAATATTTGAATCATGTAAACATTAAAAGTACGAATAAAGCTTGACTTTTTTTTAATGATATAATACGCTAAAAATCTACGAAATATATTTTTCTTAGATATGTTAAATGCCATACCAGGAAAAATCATAACTATATGTGTATTTTATCAAGCCTTTAACGAAACCATAAATTCTTACTCTTTCTTTTACTGTCAAAAAGCCAAATAAGAACTCCGCGAAATTAACCGTTTCGTCACCTATAAATATTTATTTGAATTATTACTCATTGGAATTAAATTAACTGCATCTCTAACTCAATAACACCTTGGAAAAACCACTCCAAACTTCTTTTCCCGGCTTGATTTAATTTTAAAGCTTGAATGACACTTTTTACTTCATCTGGGTTAAGCAGACCATCTTCAATGGAGCCATGTTTGTCATTATATGTGAACAGGCTTAAGAACACTATTACTTCTTGGGATGATAAACTTCTGGTCTACGTGGAAAATCATGTATGAAAATAAGAAAATCATATTAGTAACGAATTTTCCCAATTTTTTGTTTTCGTTATTACCACCCATTTGTCATCGGTTTTGTTGTTTTTGGCCAGATATACCATTACACTTTGTGTTTTTTGGCCGTCTGTCGTACCTGTGTTGAAAAATAAAATTTTAAGTATATTTTAATCAAGCTAGTCAAGACTGGTGCGTTTAATTGAAAAATGTTGTAAATGCTGGAAGATTCATATAATTTTTAGGTGACAAATTTTTTTTTAAGTTGGAAGGGGAGTAAAATTTGATAACAACCGTTAAGTTAAACCCTGCGTGAAAGATATTTTATTACCTGCTTCGTATTTCCAATCTCTCACATTCTTCACGCCCAATTCTACTAACTTTGCTATGAATTGTTTTGGGGGAATTTTGTCTACCGCTTTTTCAGATTCTTTTACTAAATCAACAATATGTTTGACTTGATCCAAATTGACTCCGACGCTCTATAAAATACCATAAGTACAAAAATAAAACTAATACATACCATTAACTACTGACATTTTATTTTTTAATGTATTTATAATTTTTATTATTATGTTTTGTACTAACCTGTGTCATGGTCACGAAGTACAACGCACAGAGGATAACAGCAATTTTGAAATGCATAATGGTTTTTTTTTCAAAACTTTGATGAATTAGAATCATGTCTTTGATACCAATATCGGATGAACAGTGGTATTCGATTCGATCCGGGTGTCGTCTTTTATAAGGTGCGATTGATAAAAACAATATAACTATGTAAATGGTAAATACTGGTAGTTGGTATTTTTTTTCGTTTTATTCTTTTGTGGAATATAATAGCAACATTTGCTCGCACAAATACAAAAACAATATAGCGAATATGTTAAAAACTGCTTGTTTTTTTTATTATTTTTTAGCCAGTTGTTTGTATCGAAAAACTCAATGTGGAAAACAACTTGTTTTCGAAAAAAACAACAATATGTATCTAAAAAAAACAATAATAAAGTTATTCCAAAGTTAAAACTTGCAACTTTATGATACCAACGAGTATTTGTCGTTTGTTTACACTGCAACAGTTGTTGTAAAAAATACTGTATTCATTGTAAACTAATGTGTTATTGTTTTTTTTTACAAAATAGAGATTTGTAATACAATTTTAAATGCAAGTTGAATACATTTATAATTAAAATACATTTTAATTTGTACCAAAAACGTTCTCTTTCGTAGTCCAAAAATTATAAAAAATCAATCATTCCCCTTCAAAATCTAGAGAGCGACTTTTTTTTATAAATAAAAATATTAATTTTTGACAGTAGTTAATTACTAGTTCATTAGAGTGAGAAAATAGTCAACGGGTATCTGATACATATTTGCCCAGACCGACGATCAACCATTAGGTTATTTATCTTAATAAAATAAAAACGAATAACTTTTTTGCTACTTCCTAATTTGAGCTGAAGTTTTGATGGGTGTATATCTTCTTCAATCTGTTCGCTTTCTATAACTTTGTAAAGATATTATGTTTTTTGTATTTTTTCATATGTACAAAAAAATCTCATAAAATTCATATTTATGTTAGCATTGTTCCATAGTGTCCCATGATTTTTAACAAAGTTATAGCAAACAAACGGAATGATAAAATTATAATGCTAAATTATTTTTAATATTCGTATTATGGAGTTAAAACCATATGTTCCCATTTGAAGAAAAGTATTGAAAAATATATAACTACAATAGAATGCGAAAAAAATAATTTTCAAAATGTTCATATTTTCCGAGAAAATGAGTGCTTTACATCAGATGAATCACACTGTATTTATATATATAAATATATTATGTACCTACATATGTGTATAATGTACGTGGAATTCCACGTTTAATCACGTGATAACTAGTGGACGTTTTGGCATAATAAAACGAGACCCCTAATATTTTAGTAAAATTAGTTTTAAAATTATATAAGAATAATGAAAATGTGGTGTTATTGTATGTTTTTTTTGTATACTTTGATGTATGACTAGCATGACTCACCAGCAAAAAATCACTCAATATCTCATAGGATTTTTTAAGGAATTTAATATTTTTTTAGCTTTGATGCGGAACAGAGATGCTATTGGTTTCAAATATGTGTGGTTTTTTTGTGTCTGTATACACTGTAACTTTTTAATATTGAACCAATTCTTTCGAGTAGCAACTCTACAAATCACAAATTTTATCTAGTTGGTATTTTGGAAGGGAGGGGGGGGGGTTGGGTAAAACTTTTAAAAGAAATATTTATTTTATCCGAGAGGACTAGTACAGTAGTGTCGAGGCATAATCGAATTAAAGCATAGAGGGGACGAAGAGGTCACAAATCTACAGAAATTATTATAATAAAAGTAATAAAATCACTTTCAAATAAGCCCTTTGATGCCAATTTGTAAACACTGCACAATTCATTCTAACTATGCTGGTTTATACTGTGCTTGGTTTGGACTTTACTGGTTTAAAAATACTAACTACTGATTCACATCGAAGCGTTTATTCGAAAGTGACTTTATTGCTTTCAGGTGTAATGATTCCTGTAAACCTGTGACACCCCACTTGGCCCCGACTCCATTGTACTGGCTTTTTCATATTGTTTTTATACAATGTGATCTCATTTTTTCATACATTATTTTGTTTTTACCCCTCTCCCTTCTCAACTAGAGGTTAAGTTAGATCTTTAAAGTTGTGATGCGTCGATAACTAGTTTTGGATAAATATTTTCATAGTTATTGAAGTTTCAAGTTTAGGGCAGGTGGAAAGATAGAATGTAGTATCATATTTATCCGGGGGCACTTCTCATCCCTGGGCTGGGTGACTAAGAGGTCGTCCCTTTGTCCATGGTCGACGTAAACAAACTTAATGGGTACCCTTTGTTTTAATTTTTATATTTTTTCAATAGTGAAATAGGTTAGGTTAGGTTTTATAGTAATGGTTTTATATCTTCTTCAATCTGTTCGCTTTCTATAACTTTATAAAGATATTATGTTTCGTGTATTTTTTCATTTGTACAAAAAACAGTAGCTCATAAAATTCATATTTATGTTAGCATTAATTAACAACAGCGGTGAATCGACCCAATAAAATGTGCGTAGATAATTATACACAATCGGTTTTTATCTACCACTTTAAAGACAGAGAGAGCAAAGGTTTTTTTTTGGCAACCTAAGAAATAGGGGGAAATACAAAATTTTAACAAAGTTATAGCATATAAGTTAAAAACATATTATGTTTCTACTTGAAAAGAAGTATTGAAATAGAAGTAGTTTATTATATCTACATATTAAATGCTTTAAGAGTGGTTTTTTTACCCAATTGTACATATTTTGTACGTATAGTGCAAACCAAAAAAATATTGCATATTTACTTATGTGGAACAAAATAACAACATATTTTTTTATCGCACAAAGACCAAAACAAATATAGCGAATATGTTAGAAACTGCTTGTTTTTTATTATTTTTTAGCCAGTTGTTTGTATCGAAAAACTCTGTGTTTTGTGAAAAACAACTTGTTTTTGAAAAAAAACAACAATATATCTAAAAAACAATAATAAAGTTATTCCAAAGTTAAAACTTGCAACTTTATGATACCAACGAGTGTCTGTCGTTTGTTTACACTGCAACAGTTGTAAAAAATACTGTATTTATTGTAAACTAATGTGTCATTGTTTTTTTGTACAAAATAGAGATTTGTAATACAATTAGAATACATTTATAATTTAAAATACATTTCAAATTTTTACCAAAAAGGTTCCCTTTATTAGTCTAAAAATGATAAAAATTCACCCATTCTTCTTCAAAGTCGAGAGAGAGAAATTTTTTTATAAATAAAAGAATTAATTTTCGACAGTAGTCAATTACTAGGTCGTTAGAGTGAAATAACATTTAACGGGTATCTGATACATATTGGCAATACCTAAGTGGTTGATACTTAATTGCGATGAGATGGGAAACAAAAAACGTTTATAGACCGACAATGAACCATTAGGTTATTTATCTTAATAAAACAAAAATAAAAACGAATAACTTTTTTGCTACTCCTCAATTTAACCTGAAGTTTTAATGGGTTTATAGCTTCTTCAATCTGTTCTTTTTCTATAATTTCGTAAAGATATTACGTTTACTATGTTTTTTCATTTTTACAAAAAAATAGTAGCTCAAAAAATTCATAGTTATGTTAGCATTGTTCCATAGTCGACAACAGCGGTAATTCGACACAATACAATGTGCTGAGATAATTATACACAATCGGTTTTTATCTACTACTTTAAAGACTACAGTCTGCTGCCTGGGCTTCTTCGTTACCCAACCAAAACCAACAACCATTTTCTCTAAATCTCCCAGTCCATATTTGAACACTTATGACTGAAAAAAGACGGGCTAAAAATCTATGGCAGTCTACTCATTACCCTTCTGATAAAGGACGACTGAACACCCTTACTGCACACCTTAAAAGATTACTGGCAAACTTGAGAAGTGAGTCTTACTCAAACCATTCAGCTTCCCTTTCCGCACACGACGGATCTCTATGGAAAGCCACCAAACAAGCCGTAAAAGACAAACCTACATTCCTTCCACTTAGAAATAAAGATGGTCCATGGGCCGCAAATGACCAGGAAAAAGCAGAACTTTTCCAAAAGCACTTAACAAATGTTTTTAGGTCCCACGAAACTGCAAAAAATACTGAACTTCTTAATAAAATACAAAACTTCTTGTTATCCCCACTCCAGTTGACACTACCTCCACAATCCTTCTCTCCAGCCGAAGTTAAACATTGCATATCTACATTTCCCACTAAAAAATCTCCTGGTTTCGACTTGATCACATACGAGGTCGCTAAGCATCTCCCCAAAAGAACACTTATTCTTCTCACATATATATTTAATACCATACTTCGCCTCTCATACTCTCATACGCTGCAGTGGAAGCTCTCTGTAATAATAGTTGTACTCAAACCTGGTAAGCCACCGGAGCACCCCTCATCCTATAGACCTATCAGTCTTCTCCCTTTCTTTTCTAAAGTATTTGAAAAACTACCCCTAAAACGAATTAAACCGATCATAGCTAAGACAAACATTATTCCAAACACGCAGTTTGGTTTTCGTAACAGACATTCTACAATCCAACAAACAAATCGATTAACAGATACAGTCGCCTCATCACTTGAAAATAAACAATATTGCACTGCTGTTTTTTTGGACGTTGCGCAAGCATTCGACCGAGTATGGCACGATGGTCTTCTTTTTAAACTAAAACAAATTCTACCTCCATACTACTACTTACTCTTTCAATCTTACCTTGATGAACGACAATTTACAGTACGTTTACCGCACAACTCTTTCAACCATATCTGAAATAAAAGCAGGGGACCTCAAGGTGCTATTTCTGCTCCTCTTCTCTTCAACATATTTACATCTGATCAACCTACCCATCTAAACACAACCGTAGCAGAATTTGCCGACGATAAAGCAATCCTTTTTGTTCATAATGACCCCCAAATTGCTTTTCATTATTTGCAATCACACATTGCAATAGTCTTCAAACCTGGTACAATGATTGGAAAATCAAAATTAATGAAATTAAATCCTGCCATACTACATTCACTCTCAAACAAGGAATCTACCCTCACGTTACTCTAAACAATGTTCAAATACCCTCATCAAATACTATCAAATACCTTGGGGTACACTTTGATAAAAAACTAAACTGGACACACCGCATACACTCCACTAAAATTAAACTAAACTTACGTCTTAACCATTCTGAGAAGATTTCTTCATTCTAAATCGAAGTTGCCCCTTCACACAAAACTAACCATTTATAAACTCTTACTTAAGCCGCTATGGACATATGGATATCCAAATCTGGGGATCAGCTAAGAATTCGAACCTTAACAAAATACAAGTCGCACAAAATAAAATACTCCGTCTCATCACTAATTCATCACCTTATATATCAAACCATACTCTACACTCTGATTTACAAATAAAAACAATAATACAAGTTACCAAAGACTACTACAGACGATACTACAATTCTCTTCAAAATCACCCAAACCCCCTTGTAAATAATCTAACATTACCCTCAACTCCCAACAACCCACCAAAGAGACTTAAAAAGAAGTGGTGCAGAGATCTTTTCACTATCAATTAATTAAAAACGAAGTTAATAAGAGTGTCGTCAGTGGACGGCTTCTCTTTTCATACTTTCAATGTCTATAATTTACCTGACATCATATATACTTATTGTACTTAAATTGTATAGATCGTATTTGTAAAATAAAGGAGAAAAAAAAACTTTAAAGACAGCGAGAGCTTCGGTTTTCGTTTTTGGCAACCTAAGAATTAGGGGAAATTTAAAATGTTAACTAAATTATAGGAAACAAAAGGATCGATGAAATTATAATGCTAAAACATTTTAAATATTCGTTTTGCATGTTTATGGAGTTAAAATCATATGTTCCCATTTGAAGAAAAGTATTGAAAAATATACAACCAAAAAATAGTATGCGAAAATAATTATTATCAAAATGTTCATATTTTTCGAGAAAATTAGTGATTTAAATCAGATGGATCACTCTGTATACAAATATAAACATATATACGTACCAACCTTAAAACTATATATGAATAATGAAAATATGTGGTTTTTGTACGAATTGTAATGTATGACTACTGTAGGGTTTTAAATTTGAAATATTTCACACGAAAAATTTCATGTGAAACATTTCAAAATTGAAAATTTCACGCCTCATAAAATATTTAAAAATATTTTTTTTTTTTACTTATGAGATAGTGACTGTCAAATGTCATCTAAACAGCTTATATTTAAAGATATCGTTTCGGTACAATGGTTGTGATCTCCGGTATATCATGGTATTGGTAACGAAAACCCGGCATGTTGATAGCTGCAGCTGTTTACTGATCATTGCTTATAAATTATTTAATTGTTATGTAATTTATTATTTTGTACTAGTCAATTCTGTTAAAACTTTTTAGTTACCTATTTTTAAGTCTGTATTAGTTTTTAAAATGGGGAAACATAAACAAGACGTTCATAGATGTAGATTTATAAAATGAAAATACAGATGATGATACTGATGATTTGTTTTCTGAAGTGCCTTTTTAGACCTTAATTTCCATACTTTCAATGCTATAACAATAATAAATTTAGACTTTATTAAGACGTACCATATTTATGATATTAGATTTAGTATTGTATTTGTTTAACTATTGCAAAGGAGTTGATTTTAATTTTAATTTTGTTATAATGTTATCTTTAAGTAATAAATATGGACGAATAGGTTATATGTTATTTGTAATACTATATCATAGTACACTATAATAAATAAAACAGAAAGGATTTAATTTTTCACTCAAATGAAATATTTCATGAGTTATTTCAAAAAAATAAATTTCATGAAATTTTAAATCTTAATGACTAGTATGTAACTGTTTGAACAAGAATACAAAACGTCACATAACATTTTTTCATACTTTTTTGGTACAAATTAAAAATGTATTTTAATTATAAATGTGTTCAACTTGCATTTAAAATTGTATTACAAATCTCTATTTTGTGCAAAAAAACAATGACACATTAGTTTACAATAAATACCGTATTTTTTACAACAACTGTTGCAGTGTAAACAAACGACAAATACTGTTTTCGAAAACAAGTTGTTTTTCACAATGAGTTTTTCGATAAAAACAACTGCCTAAAAAATAATAAAAAACCAAGCAGTTTCTAACATATTCGCAATATTGTTTTGGTCTGTGAGATAAAAATATATGATATTTTTTTATTCCACATAAGTAAATATGCAATATTTTTTGGTTTGCACTATACGTACAAAATATGTACAATTGGGTAAAAACACCACTCGTTACGCATTTAATATGTAAATATAATAAACTACTTCTATTTCCATACTTCTTTTCAAGTAGGACCATAATATGTTTTTAACTCCATAAATATGTAACACAAATATTTAAAATAATTTAGCAATAATATTTCATCAATCCGTTTATTTGCTATAACTTTGTTAAAAATTTGTAGTTACCCCTATTTCTTAGGTTGCCAAAAAAAAACCTTTGCTCTCACTGTCTTTAAAGTGGTAGATAAAAACCGATTGTGTATAATTATCTAAGCACATTTTATTGGGTCAATTTACCGCTGTTGTTAATTAATGCTAACATAAATATGAATTTTATGAGCTACTGTTTTTTGTACAAAAGAAAAAATACAAGAAACATCTTCTATAACTTTACAAAGTTATAGAAAGCGAACAGATTGAAGAAGATATAAAACCATAACTATAAAACCTAACCTAACCTAATTCTCTATAAGAATAATATAAAAATTAAAACAAAAGGTACCCATTAAGTTTGTTTACGTCGACCATGGACAAAGGGACGACCTCTTAGTTACCCAGCCCAGGGATGGGAAGTGCCCCCAGATAAATATGATACTACATTCCACCTTTCCACCTGCCCTAAACTTGAAACTTCAATAACTATGAAAATATTTTTCGAAAACTAGTTATCGACACATCACAGCTTTAGAGATCTAACCTATCCTCTAGTTGAGAAGGGAGGGGGGTAAAAACAAAATAATGTATGAAAAATTGAGATCACATTGTATAAAAACAATATGAAAAAGCCAGTACAATGGGGTCGGGGCAAAGTGGGGTGTCACAGGTTTACAGAAATCATTACACCTGAAAGCGATAAAGTCACTTTCGAATAAACGCTTCGATGTGAATAAGTAGTTAGTATTTTTAAACCAGTAAAGTCCAAACCAAGCACAGTATAAACCAGCATAGTCAGAAAGAATTAAAGTGAGGTGCAGTGTTTACAAATTAGCATCGAAGCGTTGATTTTATCACTTTTATTAAAATAACTTCTGTAGACTTGTGACCTCTTCGTCCTCTAACATAAATATAAATTTTATGAGCAACAGTTTTTTTGTACAAATGAAAAAATACAGGAAACTACAGGAATAATACAGGAATATCATTACAAAGTTATAGAATGCGAACATACTCAAGACGCTATAAACCCCTTAAAAACTTCAGCTGAAACTGAGGATTAGCAAAAAAGTTATTCGTGTTTATTTTTGTTTTATTAAGATAAATAACCTAATGGTTCATCGTCGGTCTATAAAAGTTTTTTGTTTTCCATCTCATCGCAATTAACCACTTAGTTATTGCAACTATGTATCAGATACCCGTTGACTATTTTTTCACTCTAATGACCTAGTAATTGACTACTGTCGAAAATCAATTCTTTTATTTATAAAAAAAAAGTATCTCTCTAGATTTTGAAGGGAAATGGGTGATTTTTTATCATTTTTGGACTAATAAAGAGAACCTTTTTGGTAAAATTTAAAATGTATTTTAAATTATAAATGTATTCGACTAGCATTTAAAATTGTATTACAAATCTCTATTTTGTAAAAAAAAACAATAACACATTAGTTTACAATGAATACAGTATTTTTTACAACAACTGTTGCAGTGTAATCAAACGACAAATACTCGTTGGTATCATAAAGTTGCAAGTTTTAACTTTGGAATAACTTTATTATTGTTTTTTTCAGATATATTGTAGTTTTTTTTCGAAAACAAGTTGTTTTCCACAACGAGTTTTTCAATACAAACACCTGGCTAAAAAATAATAAAAAAACAAGCAGTTTCTAACATATTCGCTATATTTGTTTTGGTCTTTGTGCGATAAAAAAATATGTTGTTTTTTTATTCCACATAAGTAAATATGCAATATTTTTTTGGGTCGCACTATACGTACAAAATATGTACAATTGGGTAAAAAACCACTCTTCACGCATTTTATATGTAAATAGAATAAAACGAAAAACAATACAACTACCAATATTTCCTATTTACATAGTTATATTGTTTTTGTCAATCGCACCATATAAAAGTCACCCCGGATCGCATCAAATGCCACTGTTCATCCGATATTGGTATCGAAGACTTACTTCTGGTTCAACAAATTGTTTGAAAAAATAAACCATTATGCATTTCAAAATTGCTGTTGTCCTCTGTGCGTTGTACTTCGTGACCATGACACAGGTTAGTATAAAACATAATCATAAAAATTATGAATGCAATAAAAAATAAAATGTCAGTAGTTTATTGTATGTATTATTATTATTGTTTTTATGGTATTTTATAGAGCGTCGGAGTCAATAGGGATCAAGTCACAGTAATTGTTGATTTAGTAAAAGCTTCCGAAACAGAGGAAGACAAACTTACCCCAGGAGAATTCCAAGAAAAGTTAGTAGAATTGGGCGTTTCAAATGTGGTAGGTTGGATATACAGAGAAGGTAATAAAATATCTTTCCCACAGGGATTCACTTTACGATTTTAATCAAATTTTACGCCTCTTCCTACTTAAAAAAAAAAATTGTCACTTTAAAATTATATGAATTTTACCAGCGTTTACAACATTTATCAATTTAACGCACTCGTCTTGACTAGCTTGATTAAAATATACTTACAATATGATTTTTAAATATAGGTACGACAGACGGTTTTAAAACACAAAGTTTATTGGTATATCTGGCCAAAGACAATAAAACCGGTGACAAATGGACGGTAATAACGAAAACAAAAATATGTGAAAATTCGTTACTAATGTGATTTTCTTATTTTCTTACATGTTTTTCTACATAGACCACAAATTTATCATCCCAAGAAGTAATAGTTTACTTAAGCTTGTTCACATATCATGACGAACAAGGCTTCCTTGGAGATGGTCTGCTTAACCCCGATGAATTAAAAAGTTGCATGGCAGCTTTAAGATTAAGTGATGACGACCAAAGATTTATAGCGTGGATTTTTAAAGGTGTTATTGAGTTAGAGATGCAGTTAATTTAATTCCAATGAGTAATAATTCAAAATAATATTTATAGGTGACGAAACGGTTAATTTCTCGGAGTTCTTATTCGGCATTTTAGCAGCAAAAGAAAAAGTAATAATTTATGGTTGCTTTTAATGCTCGATAAAATACACATATAGTTATGATTTTGCCTGGCATGACATTTAACATGTATAAGAAAAATATAATTCGTAGATTTTTAGTGCATTATAGCATTAAAAAAAAAGTCAAACTTCATTCGTACTTTTAATATTTACATGATTCAAATATTTGTTTATAGGGCATAGAAGGATTCAACCGAGGGCTAAACATGTACCAGATTGATTACTTGAGCAGTTTTATACAACAGAAGACAAATGACGATTACATTCCAACTCGTATAATAACACAGATCGTCCAAGGGTTACCAATAATTAAAGGCCAGCATAAGGAATGGAACTTTCAATTCTTTCGTAAGAATATATTATTTTTGATATTATCTCGTTGGTTATTAATATTGTTCTATGTAGAGTTAGCAAAATAACTTTTCATCTGTACGAAACAATGAGTAAAAAAATTTCTTTTACTTTATCATATTATTCTGTTATTTTTATAAATAAAATTGCAATTTAATTTAAATTGATTCTATTTTTCGATTTATTGTTTCTCAACTATGATTTAATGAGTATATATTTTAATAAATTAAAAAATGTATTTAATATTTTGACCTTAGAAAAGTGGCCCTTAGAGATGAAAGAGCTGGTGGTTCTTATATCAGAATACAACACTACAACGTCCAGAGTAATATTAATAGTTTTATTACGATTACGTTTTGTATGCTTTTATCGGGACGCCCCCCCCCCATTTATTGAAGTAGTAAAGTATAGGAAATTGTTAGCTATGCCTTATAATTATTGAGAGCTTCAACTACCATAATGCACACTCATTAATACAGCAATGAGGATTGTTTATTGGCTATAGTTTTTTTGTTGCCAGGCTATCACAGTAATTTCTTAGGAAAAATATTACATTTTTTTTTCTTTACTATAGTTTTGCGCGAATCAAAATTCAAAGTCTTGACGATTTGAAATAATTTTTTTAAAAAAATACAAAAAAACATAAACTTTAAAAATGTATAAAAGGAAAAACTGTAATGGACAATATGCTCTTCTATTTTAAAATTTGGTGAAGTCGTTGCTATCACAGCCCATTGAGTATATTCTACATAATCTAAATATGTGCTACATTAATTACTTTGTTGATATTTTAGAATACATTTGCTATTCCTGTCGATGGCGTTAGAGATTTTCTAGGTATTTTCGCTACACACGATAAGGACAATGACGGTTTTCTCGTAGAGAATGAATTTGACTATTGTTTGATCGATATTGTGCGCAAGCATTTCCCAGGAGATAACGTTGCATCCATCCGTAAGCCCGCCGAGATCGCTGGTAATATTGCAAATTATAGCGTTAACAAAATCGGCTTAATTATATTAAATTACTATCATACAATGAGGACGAGCATAGAAATACGATATAGGCGGTTTTAAGTGGGCAGACATTTTTACAAGTGAACTTATTAAAATAAATCTCGAGAAACCGCCGTGATAATCGAAGATTTTTCCTCGGTAAAATAAAAAAAGAATGTGAGACTAAAGATTATTAGAAGAAGAAAAAGTTGTATCCAATTATGAAAAAAACGTCCATTAGTTAATGGGCATGCGATTTATGAGATAGATTTCTTGGGTTTTTATATGATCTCTAGTGTTAATTTTTTAAGAATACGGTAAATACATGCGATTCTGAAAAGTATTGTCAGAAAATGATCGTTTATGTTTCCACATTAATTATGATGTATTATAGTGGTCAAAATGTTGAAGTAGAACTAGAGACAAAATAAAATAAACTTCTTAACTAAAAATATTTTACTTTTTAGCCGGCGGCAAAATTAACGTTTTGCAGTTTTTCACCATGATACTTATGAAGTGTGATGAGTACGAACCCAGAACAGGTTTGAGTTCTTCCTGATTTGAATATTATATTAAATGATTTACATGAGTATATTTTTTGGGAGTGCTTCAATTATGGGTAATACTTTTTATGTTTTATAATTCATTTCAAAACTGCATAATTTTACACATATATTTTAATTATTTAATGATTTTAGTAAATGTACAACGACTTTAATCTATATTAATAAAATGAGATAAGATTTTTTTTTAATTTGATCGTGTCAACTCATTAAACAATTGAATAAAAAATGTAATACCATAAAATGTATGTTTTTATTTCAAAATCATTATAATTACCTATCCTAGACCATCCAAGCTGCCGTCTAGTTCTAGACAGCACAAAAAACAAGTGTGCATACAAAAAAATATCAAAACAGTGTTACAATATTTTAAAAGTATTTTAACGCCATGAATCACCGTTATAAGTTGTGAATATTATAATCGACACTGATCGAATAGCTCTAATATAAAAATAAAAAATCTCTAGAAAAAAGTAATGTGTTCTTAAAGTGTTGATAAACTCAAGTGTCTCTTAATTCTCAAAAGAAAAACTACTTTAGTTACATTAGTGTAAGAGTATTTTATCTTAAACTATCATACAAACACAGCGCGATTAGTTAACAATAAGGCACTTTTTTTTAGTGGGTTATCTTAAATGAATCGCTCTATATAAATTGAAAAAATTATAAAGTATCTACAAATACATTTAAATAGCCATAAGGTTTAAAACTTAAAAGATAAGTCGAAATGAAACAGTTTTGGTGTATATAAAAAAAACATCCAACTACGCGGTATTTAAAAATGTGTGCACTATTATTTGTTTTTAACCACAATAACTGTTTTAGCAACGTAAACAAATGACAAATTGTTGTTTTTAATACCACAATCTTTTAGGTCATGTTTTTCAAAAAGCAGTTTTTATAGATACATTGTTCGAAAACATAAGTAGATTTCCACAGTGAATACAACACAAACAAGCGGCAAAAAAATAACAAAAAATTATTATTTTATTTCATATGAATAAATAAACTTGGTGATAAAAACACTCATTAAGTCAATTTTATTTTATAATATTTTTGTATTTCTTGATTCTGTCTATAAATTGTTGAAGATTTGTTTGCACTGTAGAGCCCAATTAACGTACCTATTACAAAAATTATAGCAAATATTTTTTTAAACATACTTACACGGTACAAAAAAAAAACCTTGTTTTCGCTAAAAGACCTATATGCTTTTCAAAATATAAATCCAAAATATATGTATATAATTTTCATAATTAGTTTGTTAATTAGTCTTACTGCTAAAAATATAAAATAATTGTTTGTAATTCAATTTAATGAAAGCTAAAACTGGGTATTTTAATATACAGTGCATTACTTAGTTAATACTTTGAAAACATTATATTATTATTAATACTACTATATATTTAATGAGAAGCTATTGTGCCATCTTAAATGTTCCAATCTTTACAAAGTCATAAGTGATAAACCGATTGATGAAAATTGAAAATTCAAACGCTCACATTTTTTTAAAATTGTTGTCTACATTTTATGCATGTAAAAACGTACATTACCGTTTTGCAAAAAAAGAACCATGACCATACTTCTTTTGTACAGGTAGTAATAAGGGTAGAAGGTACAAAAAAAATATGTTCCAAGTATATATTGTCCACGTTCGCACGACCGGGTACGGGATGCCGTTTTGGATTTAAAACCAGGTCACAAACGCGTTGCCCAAGCACAATATAATTTATGTATATATATATATATATATATGTATACAACCGTTTCCAAAGGGCGTTCTTAATTTGAATATGTATTTTTTTCCACATGATATGTGCGCACATACAAAGAGGTTAATTGAAGAAGATTGGATTAATACATATATGTTATGATCAATTTGACGGTCTGAGGGGCGAGGGGCTGGCAAGGGGAGGGATAGGGTGAGGGGGGAGGGTCGTTTATCGGCAAATTGATTATCCCGAAAATCCGATTAGAGCCGTGTGTTTACAAGGCGGCCAATGAATATTAATTGACCGCATTCGGCCGCCCGCGTGGATAACCGAAATTACCGTTGTGTGTGTTTCTTCCCTTTTATTTACTAATAAAAATAAAAACTAGGATCCCGGTGGCCTTTACTCGACGACGACGACGGCAAGATGTATACACTCACTGTTGTAACACAATGTGGGTCCTCCCAGTGAAAAAAGCGGTGCCCGCATACGGTCCATGATCAGGCATATAACTGCGCCTGTAAAAAAGCGGTGACCTTTCTTTTTTACATTGACGGTAAATTATACAACAATATAATAATATATGTACTGTATGTGTGCGTTATTATATAAACTGTTTCAATATAATCAACTTACCCGTTTTACTCTCTCTCAACTGTGTGTGTGAATACAAACTAGACCTCACACATCACACACTGTCTGTCGTCCGTCATCGATTTGAATAGAACTGATGTTAATGATAATAATTACTATTTGTGAGCGCGTTTTAAGAAGAAAAAAATTATAAACACATAAAGTGGCTAATATTTTAGTGTGAAACATATTAAGTACACGAAACCGCTACTTTGCTTGTATTGTTTTGTTGTAACCGCATTGGCGCAACTATAGGGGGCGACTAAGGAAGTTCAGAATACAGTCTTAATGTGTTGTTTTATGATTCGTCCAGTGTAATATAACAGCAATAAGTAAATATGTATTCACACTGGTCAAGTTAACACGTACATACGTCATTGTAAAACCAGTACACCTTCTCAGCACCGCATTGAAGCCAAAAGTACATTTTATTTAAATTCCGAACAAGCGTAACGCGCATTAAATATTTTAACAGTGTCTTATTTTGTAATAAGATATATTAGTAGAGTATAAAAAATGTTTATTATAGAGATCAAATTGTTAAGATAACTATGCTATATAGGGGTGCATAAAAAAATGTACACATTATATACATAATATTATATCTTAATTTGTTTTCATTAATATACACACTGTACATATATTTTAAGCTAATTTAATTTAATAACACGTTCGTTTTGTTAACAGGTATAACAGGTAAGTACTTAATGCACTTGAAATTAATTTTTTTAAAAAAGTCATATTGAATGTTTATTACAACTGATCCGTTTAGGCTGTAACCGCACCAAGCTTTATTTAAATGTGCAATACCACAGTCGTTTTGAAAATCAACAGAATTTCAAATTGTTCTAAAAAACTCAAGGTTTTTTTTTTTTTTTTTTGGTTTTCAAGGGCTTCGAAGAAAGCTATGCTAATTTCTTGAGTAACGTGACTCGATGATATTTTAGAACACAATAAACATTATGTTTTATCACGTGTTGTGTTTGCTTATTCTGTCAAGTAAAATTAATTGACGTTTTGCTAAATACCCGCGCCAGAAGTAGGTAATATTATACACATTACATAGCTGTGGTGACTGTGGT